CAGCTGGCACATAGGTGCAAATTACTTCAAAGTAAACAGTGGGATGAGAATGAATTTTCTTCATGTTGTAACTAGAGAGGTCTTCCAGGGAGGATGTCTCTCATAGAGAAGTACATTGCAATTATTTGCCTTCCCAAACTTTGGGGCCTAAGCCCAAGTCATATGGAGACTTGGTTCAAAGCTGTCACTATTTAACAGAAGTTATTTGCCTACCTATCTAGTAGGGCTCTATGGTTCCAGCAAAAAATATATACGATACCTGAGCAATAAATTTTACTGAGGCTCTCTGTGCAGCTACCGGGCAGATGAGTTTAGTTTTTGTCTTCTGATTACAGAATCAGCAGTGGGGCACTTGACTGTTTCTACCTACGCTGTATCTAAACTATACAACATTCTAGCCTGGATTTCAGTTTATAAAATGCAGTGTCTGTGTCAGTTACAGTGTTCAGCCTTCTAAGCGATGTGCGTTTACCTCTGCCAGAGACGTACGTGAAAAACAGATGCACCAGTGGCTCTGCTTTGTGTACAAAAATTGTTATCTAAAGTTGTTATCTAAAAGGGCAGACATACTTCTGAAATGTAAAACCTCAAGTATGCTCTATGCATAATTTTTGTAGGCACAGTAAATCACAACTAAGGAGGATCACCTTTAAAGAACAGAAAAATCCACAACCTCTGTTTAAAAGTCACAGCAGCTTTACATAGATAACTAATTTTGGTTTACAGAGGCCTAGATTTTAGATACAATTGACATTCATCAAACAGGAACAAAGAGAATAGGAAAATGGTGAATATTATGATAAAACTCTCCCTCTGCCCCCGCAAAACAAGAATGACAGGCACACTGATTTTCAAGCTTTGCTTTCAGAACACTATAGAATTAATTATATTAGGAGAATAAGAAAAATGCTTAAGAAAATATCTAATCTGCATCTCACTTCATTAGAAGACCCTTATATAAATGGTGCTGATCAGATGAATGAGTAGACTGGAATAAAATCTGTTCCTATTCCTGTAAACCCAAATTCTTATTTTTATGTTTGGATGATTTATAGCTTGTTATGTCTTTTTTTTATTTCACAGTTACATAAAAGTAAGCTTGCAGTCGGTCTCCCACTTTGTACACAAACTTGCATACAAACTTCTATATGCACTGACAAATGCAGCTGCTTCAAAAAAACGCCCAAGATATGGGAGTGTACGTTATACCTGAACACGCACGTGCGTGCACGCACATACACCCCTACACAGCAACTTAACATTATCATTTGAACTTGGGCAACTAGGAATGGTCTATCTCCTAACTTACCGCTCCTGAGGCAATTTAGCAAGCCCATGTTATGAACCACCTGCAACTTCATCCTCTAGGCAAGGCAAGACAATATAACAGGGTAGGGCTGTTTGGGATGACCACAAACATGAGTTTTCAATTTAAAATCCTACTGTTTTAAAACATTTCATCTTCCATTTAGAATTTCTTGGTGCACAAGTTTTCTTGGTATCACAATCTATTCCTAGTAAAATCCTACTGTTTTAAAACATTTCAACTTCCATTTAGAATTTCCTGGTGCACAAGTACTTCAGTTTTCTTGGTAGCACAATCTATTCCTATTCAAGATTTTGTATTACCATTGTTCACTGCCTCAGTTCATTTATTTTTTGTAATTTAATGATCTCTTTCACATCTTCTGTTCTGTGTGGTTTGATCTCTTATGGTGTTAACATGTTTTCCTTTGCGTGCTTATCTAGTTCATTGCATCATATATTTGCTAGAGATCTTAATTCATGGGGTTGCACATTTAAGTACGTGTCACAGTTAAGTCCTGTACAGTCTTTTCATGGTGATTCTATTAATTCCACAGAGCTGGAAATAGTGAAGAAGCTCAAGCACGATGCATAAGGTTGTCTTTAGCTGACATTTTCCCTTTGTTTCCTACTTTTAGTGTACTGCCACTGAAAGCTGGTGAGAAATCTAGGACAAAGTTTAAAATCACCCCTTCTGAGACAGGCCTCAAGCATCTACTTGTTAACTTCTCCTGTGACAAGTTTGCAGATGTCAAAGCACATAAAGTTGTCAATGTGATTGGCTAAGAGGAAGGCAATAGATGACCCATTTCCGAATAACCTGAGCAAAACAGTATATGAAGTTGATGAAGAATAAACCACATAATTGCTGCTTCTGAAACAAAATACTCCCTGCAATAAAATAAAAATAAAACTGATGAGTAACTTGTTAAGTGGTAATTTCAAATAAACTGAGGAACAATTGATCCTTCAGGTACTGCTGTGTCGATGTTATCAAATACAGCATCTTACATTCTATCCAGAGACTGATTTTTGCCAGTTTTTCTTTTGAAATCATTCTTTCTGATTCCAGATGTTTCAACACAAATAAACACATGCTTACTCCTTCAGAGCTTTATGCAGAGCTTGCAAAGTGGTACTTTTCTTTTTATTGCGACTGTGATACTAGAGATTAGCTGGAACAAGGTCCATATTTACGATTTTAGTTCCCTCTTACTGCAAAGTTTAGCACTGTGTGAACTGAGCACCTATCCTGATTTTTGGGAGGCAGGAGGGAAAGAACCCAAGTGAGAAAGACCAAATTAGGCCTAGGAAATGTTGTAAAGGAATTTATACTACCTCCATCTAGAGAGTAGTTTGACAAGCGTGTTGGGATAATTGCCCAGGGTATATCTACAGGATATTTTGGCATGTGACATTTTTCACTTACTGATATTACCTGTGACTCAAAGGGAGCATAATATTAAATCATGGGGTATTTTACCTTGAGAACCTTTACCTTGAGAAATTAGGATTTCTTCATTTTAGATTAATCTGTGTCAGGAAGACATCCCTTTCAGCAAATAATAAACTAAATACAGAGTCCAGTTAACCTCAAGGTCAGAAGAGTTCAAGTTTACTACAGTTTAAGTAAACTCTTTATGTGGCAATAGGTACAGGCCACAGGTATGAAAGAAATTAGTGAGGACAAAGGATTTATCCAAATTTACTGATGTTGTAAGACCCCCAGATTCTAATATAATGGCGTGTTTTAATAAAGGGTGCGTTAATCTTGCTTTAAAAATTGTGCAATTAAACTTAACTCATGATTTCCACATCTTCCACATGCTGCTAAGCAGCGTGCATAATGCAAATGTTCTCTCATTAGCTGCCAGTTGCATTGAAGTGCTTTGTGTGGAAATAGAAGCTAAAAGCTGGGTTCCAGGAAAAGGTGAACTAGGTGTTGTACAGCAAGTGACTCGGTTTATGGCAGATAATTACATGGCAGCAAGTCAATCTCTGAAGATTAACTGCGTGGATGAAGTGAATGGAAAGTAAAGCTCCTGCTCTGCTGTAGTTTGGACTGCAGGACCAGGGAGCCAGCAGGTTGGAGCCAGCTCTGTGCCTCTCCTTTCGTCCCTCAGCACAGGGCACTAGTCACTTGCCACAGGGACTCCTCACTCTTACAGGTCAGCCCACGCTATACCCCAGCTTTGCCTTCACACCTGCAGAAATGGCTTTAGGGAGGCACTTTCTGCCACCTGGTTTTCCAGTGCTGGGCATGTGATGAGAGTACAAGAGTAGACAGGACATCTAATGTTGAGATGGGCTAGGAAGAGTTTGTACAAATCTACGGTTGTGCCCTCTATTTTATTCCTGGTGCTCTTCAAGGTTTGTCAGAGCACACAGCTCTCATCACATGGGTCAAGTGATGGGCTCTCAAGCTTGAGCATAACCTTGGACTCACACTCAAAGCAGAATGTGGATATATACTTGAGGACCTCCTGTTACAGCTCCTGCACCAATGGAAACCGCCAGATCCCACTGAAATCAAGTGAATGGCACCAGCAAAAATGAGAGAATCCTATAAACTGGACCTCCAAGAGAATTAAAAGGCAGGCAATACTTTCCTTGCAACACTTCACACACACAGAAAGTTAACATGTCCAATTAAACATGTGTCTAATGGGATAAAGACTCACAGAAGGACTCTGCAACATCCTTTGTGGATATTAATTTCCTCACATCCTTTGTGGATACTGATTTCGTCTTTCTAGTAAGGAGTAGAAACAGCACAAGTGCAAGGTATAATATGGTAAGCCAGGGGATTCTGATAATAAACAGTAGTGGAAAGGATTAAGGAGATGAGAGAAATAAAATGGTACAATCCCCTTGGAAAGACAGCAAACTGCATATCAGTTTCAAGGCTCTACAACTAAGGAAAAAAGGGAATAAAATATCCTGAATGATTTTTGGTGAGGAGTGGGTGGAATTGAGCTAGGAAAAACACTTGTGACAATGTTAAGTCATTAGTCACATAGGAACCATGACCACTGCATTCCATAGGGATTACAAGAGAAGCTTTAGATGCTTTGGTGTGGTGAAGGTGCCAGTTTGATATGTAGGCCACTCTCTGCAAGGTTCTGGTGGTTTGGAAACACCGCTGTGGGTGTGTCATACAAAGGTAAAGGAGGTGGTTGCAAGCAATGCAGAAAAAGTGCTCGAGATGTAATTACTTATACGAGCAGCAAGGAAGAAGAAAGGAAGTTAGAGTCATACTCCAGAGGGAGCAGTGGGCAGTGTCGGAGGCAATCACGGTAAGTACCGAACACCTGAACTTAAGAACTGGTCAATGCGGTTTGTCACTAGCGCTCTGTGTGAAGAGCAGGTAACATCAGAGGCTTGCGGCTCTTATGGTTTCCAGAGAATATGAATTAAGGATAAGAGGAAAGAACAACTAAGCGAACTACGATCAGCACTCAGCTCAAAGAGATTCCTGAAACCTGCTTCGAGAGCCTGAACTCTTGGAAACTCCCAAGAAGAGGAAGGACCTCTGAATTATAATGTAAGTGGAGATAACACAGGATCACATCAGGTATAGTATTGCCAAATAGAAAAGGTTTCAGAATTTCTCTTTCAATACAAGGCTAGAGTGAATGCTGTATAAGTAACTACTCTTTTAATCTTCATGTTATCAAGACCATGTTTTCAAAAATTATGTGAGAAGACAATTTTATAAGATATATTTTAATGTCTGAGTTGCTACCTTAGGGAAAAAAAAACTGTCAAAGATTACTTTCTGATTCTTTTTCATTTTTGTTTTCTCTGTGACTGAAAATTCAAAGTACTTTCCTCAAATCTTTACTGAGAGATCAAACATGATCAGTGGGACTCAGGAATCCTAAACACAATTATTCCTCCCCACAAAAAAATGTCACTTTACTACCTGCACACCTTGAAGTGAGGTTGGTGATAATAGAAATATACTGACAGATGAGAAGATACAAAGGCTTAGAATTTGCACTGTTTTTAAAGAAAACACTCATGTTTAATACTTTTTTTTTGGGGGGTGGGGAGGAATGGAACCACTTTTGCTTAAATAGAGAATAAGGAGCTGGGTAACAAAATAAGCAGGTAGAAAATTGTACCTGGTTCCACTTTAGCATTTCACATAAAAGCAGGTGGGTTTTATAATTTGAGACCTTTGAGACTTAAAAAGGACCACGGCTGTTGGACAAAACCAGAAGTGTCATTAACCAAGACGGAAGTTAAGCAATAAGGAAGTGCCCCTTTTCCTTCAGATGGCTTGTACCTCCCACCACACTCCCTGTTTCCTCATCCTTAAGGATAACTTATTCATGTCACACCTATTATTTTTTGTAGGAAGTTCTACTTGTCTTGGGATTCTAGAGAATGCATTTCCTCTGAGTAAATAATTTTGGTATCTCCTCCCATAATTACACCCACGCTGAGCGGGAACATTAGCATTAGACATACATCCATTATAGGAACTGGTTAATTCATCTGACAAGTTTACAGGTATTAACAACAACTGCTAAATACTTCTCAATTTCAGCCGACAGAACAAATAATTTCTCTCTCTTTTTTCTTTTTTTTTTAAAATGATTAATATGAATTGGACACCCTTGAAGAAGAAAGTAGAAGGTCTATGCAATTCACATAAGCTGCGGGAATGGCAGGTGAGTCCGCTATGTCATTTGCTTTCCTTCAGTGTTCTTTTCTCAATAAGTATTTCCTTAAGATATATGCCCTGTGGGTGTCTTCATAGATTTCTTACCTGGAGGAATTTTATCGTGTCAGCTGTTCTTGCACTTCACTTATTGTTATTATCGTATCTATTTGAAAATAAATTGTAAACTGAGCAGAAAGTGTTACTGAGGAAAAGAAATCCCATTATTTCAATTTTATTCTTCAGAACTCTATCTAGGCCTTTCCTTTTTTTTTTTTTTTTTTCTTTTTTTTTCTTTTTTTAAAATGGCCTTTCAGAGATATTTTGGTGACATTTTGGGTGACAGAGCACTGGAACAGGCTGCCCAGAGAGGTTGTGGAGTCTCCTTCCCTGGAGATCTTCCAAACCTGCCTGGATGCCATGTGCTCTAGGTGACCCTGTGTGTGCAGCGGGATTGGACTACATGATCTCTAGAGGTCCCTTCCGACCTCAACCTTTATGTGATTCTGTGACATTTTGTACTAACAAAATTAGTAAAATCCATCTAATGGAGCTAGGAGCATGCAGCCTACAGATGGAAACTACATTATACTGCAATGTTGGACCACACCTTGTGTAGATGTTTACAAATACATGCACAAATCTGTTAAAACCCCGTTAAAGCAGAATAGTAATGACAGTATCTCTGTTTTGCATTTAGTAGAGATCCTTATTCAAAAGAAAAAGGTTTGGTGAACTGGATAATAGGAAGGCAGGTCTATCTTTTAGTGTAAACAGTCTATTCAACTCAGTTTTGATAATGTTACTTTGCAGGGGAAATAGCAGCCCAGTGCAGTTCACTACCATATTGTCCCAAACGTTCAGGTTAAAGGCCGTTTCAGTCCATGGCTACTTATTATATTACCTCTTTGTAGTTATGGACTACAAAAAGGATGGCAAAAAAAGTTTTCTACTTCATTTAATTATGGCACTGAACTTCCCTCACAAGATGGATTTTTTTGTATTTATTCTGCAAAGATTTTGTATAAACTGTCATGCAATATGCAGCTATATTTGTTTCAGATCTGATTTATCATGGCTACATAGTATGAGATAGACTTGGAAGTTTGTTTGAACCATACCATAATACTGAATTATGCTGTAGGCCTTAACTCATCCTTTCTTTTCCTCACCTTTGCTGTTTTCCTTTCAATTCCCTTTAACTGTTCTTGCTGCCCCTTCGCTCTCCGCTCCCAAAGGGGAAGAAAAAAAAAGTAAAACCTCACTGCATATATGATACTGGCATTAAAGTGATTGTGGAGAATCTTTACTAGGATACCTTTCCTGGAGCACAGGCCAAACTTTGCAACACTATGCTCCAACCATACTTTGCAGAGAATCATAGGATATACCTAAGCTTGAAGGACAGTGCCTCTCAGAGCTCCCAAAGAAAACATCACTCTGCGCAAGTTGAGCATGACAGTAAAGCATAAGCAAGAGAAGGAAAAACAATCTTGCAATGAGAACTGCTTAAGTACTCACTTGCCAAAAAGTCAGCGTAGGATTTAAGATGGTAAGAGTCACTTTGTTGGCTTTAAACTACAGACCATGCTTGCAATGAGGCAAGCGTGGCCTGTAGCACAACCACATACGACCAGGCATGAGATCATATATGCAAAGGAAGACCTTTGATATCAGAAATCCCCAAGCACAATGTCCCTCCACAACACTGAGGTAGTGTGACTGCCCCAGAACACAGGCAGAACACAAATCCCGGTGGGCAGTTTGTCACTTTGAGTGGAGCTAAATTCTGTCCAATGACTTTTTGTCAAGAGCTCTGAATATGTCCACAAATATCTTTTGTTCATTTTTATAAATCTCATACTATGTATCTTTTCCCTACTATAAATCAGATGACAGAAGCAGTAAAATATTGGAGTAGCTGTTTCCAGATTACTTATAAATGTTAAAAGTATACAAGGTCTACTAACCACTGAATTTGGTGATAACTCTGAAATGAACCTGATTTGCTCCGGTTAATTTTTTCTACATTAATTAATTAATTAATAAGTATCCACCATGGCATAGGAAGAACATGAGTCCGTGGTGTTTGAGACTACTGCAACAAAACCCCAGCACAAGATTTCTACTGCTGGCCACTAGATTTGATCCATTTCCTGAAGCATCTTCCTTTTAGTCTGACCTTCCTTCAAGAAGGGGTTCCTGATGTTAGCAACTTCATAATCCTACCTGGCAGCAAATGGCTGTTTTCTTTGCTTGCTTCTTCTTAATGTCTTTTCACTTGTTTTATAGACCTAACACCAACGCACATTTCCTGGCAACCATCAGCAAATGCCCGCGTACACCATACTGACAGATATGCCAACAGGGAACTGACTATGAGGCGAGGACAGGCCTTCGTCATCAGCCTGTACTTCAACAGGCCACAGCAGCCTGGGGAGAGCTTAGGATTTGTTGCTGAAACAGGTAACACACCTTTCTCCACACTATTGCAGAGCTGTACTTTTTTCCCCTTCTAATTATTCCCTTATTCCGTTTAGAAATGCAGTCTTCCTTCATATTTTTGAACCTTTTTCCCCCCAGTGTGCTAATTTCAAATTGGAAATTAATAACGAAACTGTGCTCTGGAACACACAGAAATTACACAGCGTAACATGGATGTTGATGCATGTCTTCTCCCCGGCAGGACCGTCCCCCTCCGAGTCTCACCACACGAGGGCTGTATTTAATGTCTCCGAGGCAGGGGCTAGTGGCTGGCAAGCTACCCAGGAACCCAGTGAGTCTGGCTACACAAACTTCACCATATCCAGCCCAGCCAATGCTGTCATTGGACGATACAATCTCACCCTCCAGGTAACCTCTGGGAACAGGATCTTCTCCAGATTCCTGGGGCAGTTTGTGATGCTCTTTAACCCATGGTGTCCAGGTAGGTACTGCTGCCCCTGCTCTTAAATGTAACTGACCTATCTGCTTTCATTTCTGCACAAGGTTACTTCACCGAACCTGGGGCAGTACCCTCAGCTCTCTGTTCATAGACTTGGTTTTACTACGTTGAAACACCCCCCTCCCCACATTTTTTTTTCCCCTCCTCTCTCCCTCTCAAGTGAAATACACTATAGCACGTGACACTATAGACTTTTCCTTCAGGACTGAGTAGATATTTTTTCCATGTACAAGGGCTGACAGACTTAGAAAATTACATGCACTTTTCAGGCCTTTAATTAAGCTTGCAGGAAGTTTCTTTACTTGCATCTATATCAAAGCTAGACTTCTTGCAAATGTTGCATGCAAGGATAAAGGCTCAAGTAATTTTCTAAAATTTGTCAGAGGACTAGCCAGAAGAAAGACTGGCACTTCCCAGATATTTCATCATGGGCTTATATGGGGCATTTCTGCTACCATTTTTAATTTTTGCAGCCTCGTCATACTACAGAAAAATACAAATTTCTAAACTTGTTTTTTGCAAATATATGATAGTCTAGGACTCAGAGTAGCCTAAAACTAAACCACCTTACAGCTGATAGATCTCTTAGTCACCTAAATGACTAAAAAATCTTATGCAACATGAGAAGATAAAAGCAACCACAATCAGCCACTTTGTGTGCGTGCATGTGTGTGCGTTACTACATGTTAGTCAATTAGCTAATTAGCTCAGCATGCCTTGGAAGGCAGAATAATAGCAGAATTATATTCAGGAGATTTGGACTGCGTCTGCATAGTCCTGAGGGAATTACATCTGAGGAACCTCCTGAAAGAACAATTGCTGCATAACTTTTAATAGCTTGAAACTGCACTATGGAGAGAAAAGCTTGACAGTTCCTGAACTAGAACAAATGAGTGAGAGTGATATCACAAGACCAGATGAATTGTTATTTGATGAAAACTGAAGAAGGATGAGCATTTCAGTAGGCCATCCCAAAAACGTTGCTGGTACCACCTTGGATCAGGCAAGTCTGGATTCTTAAAATGAGATGAACACATGACTAGAAAAATAAACAAACACACTAAAGATTTTTCTCTTAGAATACCTTTTCCACTTTTAACTAACCTGATAAAGCTGAGAAATCCAGTGAGCTACTCAGTGAGTAAGGTTGGGCTTTTCTCCATCTTCCCTTCAAAATAGATGGCAAAACACTTAGGTAATATACAGAGACTATACTAAAACTTGGCAAATAGTCAAAGTAACATAATGTAGATTTTTTTTTCCAGGCCATTAAGTAAATGAATTTCACCAAATTGTTTGCATGTAGGTAGATAAAACAATGAGATAGGGTTTTCTGAATACTTTATCTACTTGCCCATTTTAGGTCAACATTCAAGTGTTCTTCAAAGGCTATTGGTATCTTCATTTTTAAGTTCAGAAGTATGACCAACTTCTTTTTCAGGTGATGATGTCTACATGGCTAATGAAAATGAGAGACAGGAATATGTTCTGAATGAAAATGGAATTATCTTTGTGGGCAATGCAAAGTACATTGAAGCAAGAGGATGGTACTATGGACAGGTAAGCTGTTAGGAATTCACTTGGACTCATACTCTGTCTCCAACTTCATCTTCTAATTATTTGTATCCTTGATAGGTATACCTACTTATATGAAAAGTCAGGTAAAGCTGGCTAGCCTTGATTGTGATTTACTTACTATGTGCCTGGTAGGACTGTGGTGAGAGATGGTGTGGCACAGCACTGCAGTAAAGCCTGCAACTCTTGCATGTGCTACGAGCTACAAGCACAACCATGCGCCAGATCCATGACCAGACTGCAGCAAATATTGCAGGAGTGTATGTTGTGCTCTCTGTGTTTTAAGTCTTGTTCTTACCATCTTTGGGCTCCAAATTCTTAGAAAGTAGAAACTGCAGAAGACTCCTCTGATTCTGTTCGGGAAAGTATCCCTTCTTAAAAACATATCTTATCTGATCACAGTTTCAAGATCCTCTTCTAAACATCTGTCTCACCATGCTTGATCTGAGCCTGTATTATCGTCAGGACCCAGCCATGGATGTATCCCGAAGAGGAGATCCTAAATATGTGGGCAGAGTAATCAGTTCTATGGTAAGAAACGGACAATTTAATTTGAATTCCACATCGTTAAGCAAAAAGCATTAGTCACCCCTGTGAGACTCAACAGTCTTTGCCTTAGCATTATAATCAAGAAACTAGATATGATGCATTACATGCAACTGATTTTGCCCCTTCTATCCACTTGTCTGCTTTTAGATCAATGGAAATGATAATGACAATGGCGTTCTCTTGGGAAAGTGGCAAGGAAGCTTCCATTCTCATGAAAATCCATCCAGATGGGATGGCAGCGTGGTAATCCTTCGGAAATGGCGCCAGGACAACTATAGGCCTGTTCAATATGGCCAATGCTGGGTTTTTGCAGGTGTAATGTGTACAGGTAAGTTTTAAGAATAAAGAATTACAATGAAATGGAGGCATTTATAACCTCTGTTTTTGTTTTTTTTTTTTAAATCAAAACCTTAAATCAATTAATTCTACAAGAGGAACAGTACTTCAGAGACTGCAAAAAATGAATAACAACAAAATATTTGAGAAACAACATTAAATTGTTTAAATATTTGTAACTGCCGAGTTAGAGGGTTTTTTCTTTTCTTTTTTTTTTCCTTTTTGTTTTTAATATATTTCAGTTCTGAGGTGTTTGGGAATTCCAACCCGTTTGATTTCAAATTTTAACTCTGCTCATGATGTGGATAGAAACCTGAGTATTGATAAATACTATGACAGCTCTGGAAAGAGTCTTAATATCGGCAAGGATTCCACATGGTAAATATACATTTCTGCATTTCACCATCACTTAGGGAGAGGATTTATGTGATTTCTGTTATTATTAGCACAAAAGTACTAGAACTTCATGCAGCTATCTAAATTTATAAAGCAGATACCAGTTTGGAAGGAAACCATATCTCATGGTTTTGAGACAAGTTACTTTTTTTTAAAAAAAAAAAAAGACAAACCCACAATGTTTGGTGGTCCCTGACCTCAAACCGGTTACCACTTTTTTAAGAAAGTGGCAATGTTGCTTTTGAAAATGTACCATTCCAAATCTCTCATTTACTGATTCCTAACCAGTTTGTTTCTGGTAACACAGCTATAACTTCTGTGCGCTTAACTAGTTTGCTGCTGCTGTAGCTTCTTCTCATCACACATCTAAAGCCTTGGTTCCTCAGCTTAGCCTACTATCCTTCCCAGGTAGTTTGGAGCCTCCCCAAGAGGTTTTCCAGGATTCATTTTGCTAGTCTTTCCTCTTGAGGGAACTGATAAAAAGAGAACAGTCCCAGTCTTGTTAGACCCAATTATTGAGGTCTTGGAGTCTAGGAGTATAAAGTCACACTTCAAGCCCCAGATGAGATTAGCCAAAGAAACATGATAATCCTTAAGTCATGCCATTTTATTCTTTATTTACTCCCAAATTTGAAACTTTCAAGCTGCAGCTACTTTTCAGGAAATGTACTTACTAGGCCATACTTCCAAAGGTATATGATAAAACTCAAAAGTCTTTTGTGCATCCTAGGTTTAGCCAATAGTGGTTGTTTAGTCTGCTTCCTTTCACTGAGTTTATGTAGTAGAAGAATGCGAGAAGTCTTTCTCTTCCTAACACCCTTAAAAGCACTAGTCTCTGAATAAACACTCAGAGGATGAAGTTGTGTTTCTGAGCCCTGCTGTGACCTATCTTCTACTAAGCTTTTGTGCTGTTCTTTCTACTCAAAGTCTGTGGAACTCACTAGCACTGGATGCCATGAAAGCAAAAGTGATAAAATATGTTTTAAAAATCCTCTAAAGACATTCTGAAGCAATCACTAATGAAAACTAATGAAATATAGTGTTCTCAATGTAGCCTTTAGTTCACGGAGTTCCTAACTCATGCTCTAGTATTGCTAGCAGTCAATCAAGGGTAGGGTCATTCCACTCCTGTTCTGTTCTTAATTTTTTCTAAACATCTCCTATTGCACACTACTACAGATAGACAATTGGACTTTATGAACACTTATTCACCACCTACTACAACTTTCCTGAATTTCTTATAAAAAAAAAAAAAAACAGACAAAAAGAACCTTAGCACTTCCCACTTCTGAAGGATACTCAATCCAGTTTCCAAACATTGCAAGGTATCTTTCTCATATGGTTTCTCTTGGTTCCAAAGCAAGCTGCTGACATCTCTCTTCTCTCTCTCAAACTCTCATTATATTTATTTCTTTTTAAAAGAGGTCAACACCTCAACAACAGAAAGGGGCAGTGAGTTGCTGCAACTAGACAGCTCATCTCACATCCTGATGAATGGGCAAAACAATTCCCCACACCTTTCAAAGTGGGAAGTGTATATTCCTACACTTCCTCGTCATTGTTCTTTCCATCTCCAGGGACTATCACGTCTGGAATGAAAGCTGGTTCACTCGTCGAGACCTGGGAGCATCATACAATGGATGGCAAGTTTTAGACGCAACTCCACAAGAACAAAGCAAAGGTAACAGTGCAAGTTCTTAATTGTCTTTCTCCAGACCGATCATTACTAATATGACTTCTGAAATTTGTTTGTGCCCTAGGACTATTTCAGTGTGGCCCTGCATCTGTCATAGCCATCAAAGAAGGTGATGTAGACTTGGATTACGACACCTTATTTGTGTATACGGAGGTGAATGCTGATTGCAACAGATGGATTGTATACAATGATGGCACTAAGAAAAGAGTTTATTGTGATACTGAAATAATTGGCAGGTTTATCAGCACCAAAGCTGTGGGCAGCAATTCTCGTGTGGATGTCACTTACAACTATAAGTACCCAGAAGGTAAAAAAAAAAAAAAAAAGTTTTTTGGGTAATTAATTCCTTCAAATTACACATTATACATTAATTCCTTAAATAAGATTCCTTACTAATACACAGTAAATACTTTACTGCCTCACACAAAACTACAAAATAGCTACAAAATATTTCCTAGCCGTGTTTTGTTTATATCATTTTTACTACCAAAAGCAACCAGATTCTCAAACTTCTGTAGAAAGTATATTTACTTCATTTCAGTGATTTACTTTAATATAATGCATTTATTAATTTCATTTAATATTAATTTATTAAACAAAAAAGCTTGAATGGCATTCTAGTGAAAAAATACAGGGAACATTTCAGCAGCATATGTTTTTGAGTGATGCAGAGCTGACACCCTGCAATGTTCTCATAACCTTGACACAGAGAACATGTAATGGCAATGAAGATATGAATTTTACTTGATTCTCTCTTTCAACCAGGTTCTTCTGAGGAAAGACGTGTTTATCGAAAGGCCTGGGCTAAGATATTTGGATCAAACGCCCCAGAAAGACACAGAGAGTCTTCAAATGAAAGATCTTCAGAGGCAATGAGAAACCCTGGAATCTCTGGGAAATTCAAGCTGGCTGAACCTCCAGTGTTCGGCAAAGATATTAGCCTAATCTTAATTCTCAATAACCTATCTTTCGATCACAAGACAGTGAAGGTGGATATAAGCGCATCAACTGTCCTGTATACAAGGCGAGCAGTGGCAGAGATCCTGCAGGCGACCACCTCTGTGGATCTTGGTTCTAATCAAGGTAATTGTTCGTGTGCTTCAAGAGCTAATAAACTCTCTTCTTGACCATTATAATCCCCTAAATGTAAATGTAAGGGAGAAACATCAATACCATATCTATATCTACTTGTCCTGTCTTTTAGCAGGAGTGTTTACTGCTGCACTTAACTAGATTTTTTTTCTTCTTCTGAAAAGGCCACATCTATATTATAGCCCCAGAAGCAATATCATAGTTAGGTACATATCTGTGGCAAATATTACACGTATCAGAACGCATCTTACTCTTTGAACAAATAAGCAAGTCCAATGCATGCCTTCTGGCACTTTACATGAAATATGGAAGAGTTTAATAAAAATTAATCTGGAAAAAATTACAGTGAAATTCCATATGTCTCTCTTAAAAAAGAGCCAAGGCTAATAAAATTATTAAATGGATCTTTTTTCATCCCCAGGGACTGCAAAGATATAGAGCTCTTCTCCATATACAGTAGAAAGGTTGTATGACTAAGACAATAAGTAGCTGACCAGGTTGCTCATAAGGGTCTCCAAATATTGATCCGGACTTTCTTCTTGACTGTTGTAAAATAAATAGGATATATGGAAGGAATAGATAAAAATGGTTATTCATGTAATTATAAAAAAATACAAAGAGACAATCCAGTGAAATGCAGATGAGCAGATGCCTTCCGTTTTAGGCAAAAATTCTTCTTTTTTTTTTTTTTTTTTTTTTAAAAAAAAAAGAACAGGAAAGGACCACCAGCAGTGAGAAATACTCTACTCCCTTGTAAGACCATCTGTGTATACAGCCCCTGGGTGTCCTATCTTCTCTTCAATAGTTTCAGAGATCCTCACAATAACTGTGTCACCTTTAGCATTCTTTATAGGAATCTAATTTTTTTAAATATACATCTACATTCCAGAGAAACATATTCAGTTAAAGATTCCTTATACTTATTACGGAAAATATCTGACTACGGACAAAAGGATCCAAGTGACTGCTTTGTGTGAAGTCATGAACATGCATGGTATAAAGCTGCTGGTAGAGAAGACAATCATTTTAGAGGACACAAACATCATTATCAAGGTAAACAGCTCACTGCTGTCCTGAACAGACAGTAATGATCTAAAGAGATTTCTTGGAGCTCAGAACTGATGAAAACGTGAGGATAAAAATGTATGAATGTAGTCTACAGCCTTTCAGATATGGCTCTGAAGTTCTGCCTGTTTAACTTAAGAAAGTAAGCTTCCTCAAAATGGGATCCAACAATTTTGGATCTTTGCTTGAATCTGCCCAATTGTCTTCAGAACAGCTCTGTTCCCTTCTTTCTTTCCCAGTCATGTGCAATTGCTTTATGTTTACAGAAATGCCTATATTTTTACTCCATTTTTATTCTAGTTACTGGCAAGCATTTGAGTTGCCTTTGGATGACTTTCCTTTTTCTCAAAATAAAGGCTTAAACCTTCCACTCCAATTTATCCATATCACAGAAAAACAAAGAAATTACATACAGCAAGCCAAAGATCAGACAGATTATAAGATATGCAATGAGGTCTCTATTTCACTGAAATTTATATATAAATTATTACACATATCTCAACAGCACTACTTAACAAATCCAAATCCAGCTTCAAGCTCTAGAAAAAGCATACCAAGCGTGATTAAATTCCACTGTTCTGACCTATATATTATTTATCCTCAAATATAAGTGATGATCTGCTTACAGTACCACTGAAATCTGACTTCAAAAACGTCTAAAACAGTGGACAATCAGAAATGTGTCTTTGTCATTTAGGTTCCTCAGCGGGTTGTAGTGAACAAAGCTGCTACTCTAGAGATCTCGTACGCCAACCCCCTCCCTGAACCCGTGGACAGCTGTGTCCTGCTAGTGACCTTGATGAACCAACAGGTCAAGATACAGTAAGTAAAAGCTATAGCATTTACTTAGGGCTTATAACATGACCAATATCATGGTTAGTTTCTCAATAAGAAAAAAAAAAATCATGGTTAAGTCAACTTTATCACAAAATGCATGTGTTGTGTTTATAAAAATAAAAATGCCACAAAATACATATTGTGAAACGGTGATTTCTCAATCATGTATTTTTATTTATTTATTTATTTTTACTCAGGGACTTCTCTAAGAACTAAAAACTGCTAATTTATTCCTTTCTGGGAAAGCAAATAGGAAAGTCAAATTCTTTTGCGTCTTTGATATTCCTTCTACAGCTTGGCTTCATATTTCTACTTCTAAATACAATAACCTGAAACATAGAAATAAAACTGACCTAAAGGACACAAATAAGACTCTGCCATAGCTTCCCTCATTCCAGCCTAAACAAGTTCTGTTCTCCTTTAAAGTACAAAATAAGCTGCCTTTTAGGCATATAAGAGCAAAAAAATCTAACTTTTTTTCCTGGATCTGCTTCTTTACGGATTAACTCCGTAAAATATTTTATAGAATTCTTTCATTATGAAACATTCTGACTTGCTGCAGCTCTGAAGAGTTTGGACATGATAATTCATGCCCAATGAAATGGACGGAAATTTCTGAAGATGATAATTCATAAAATATGGAAAACACTATTCCTGTGTGGGGTCTTATAAATCATTTTCTCTGAATCACTACATCATGCCAAAAAAGAAACAAAGCACTTTAGTCATGAGAAAAATCAAGTTATTGACAAAATGGACATAGCTAAGCAGACACTGTGCAAAGAATAGACCTTTATCAGAGTTTTCCTGTTCTAAATTTCTATGTTTACTATCTAACCTTGCACTCAACTCCAGGTCATACTTCTACCTTTCATTTTGTATTGACAAATAAATGGACTATGCTGTCTTCTCCTGTTTCTTAGTCCACACAAAATCCCAAACCTAAATAATTCTCAGAAAACACCACTGATCTGAAGCAACCCTTTGGTGCAACAGCTCTGTAGCTCTCTTTCTTTGGCATATGAAGGAAAGACAATGCAAAACTGAATTATTTGATTTTTGTTTTCAGTCTAGCAGGACTAGCACCGAGGGAGAGATCAAAAATTTACTTTGAATTCACACCTCGCAGAACTGGGCCCTTACAGCTGCAAGTAGACTTCTCCTGTGACAAGTTCTCGCATGTTAAAGGATTCATAACCATTGCAGTAGCACCTGCATAATGTGATGGAGACAATTTCTTCTTTCTGTATTAACAATGACATTTTCCCCTGCATAGGGACAGTAATGACAACAACACGTTTCCACAAAAACAGGCAATCACTTACATTGCATTAGAATTAAGTGTCCTGCTTTCACAGTGCTTAATTAATAGTTTCTAAGTGTATACCTTTTTTTGACCTCCTGTCTAGAAAAAAATGAAGCCTCTTCCTCATAGAAATATTAATAGTTTTAGTGAAATCTACTAATTGTATTAAGCTCCAGGTTTTAATTTCTCCAGCAGATAACACATAGAGCCTTTTTTAGATCTCATTCTAATTTGCCATCAATAAATATAAAAATTCAAATAACGGTTGTATTTTTGGTATGAAGTGTATATTCAACAGAAATATTATGAGAAATCAGAAGACTGAGCAATCTCTTCTTGATTTTTTTTTACTTTTCTCACTTAAAAGTCTCCATTATTCTTTTAATTTCCTTATTTTGCGCCACCTATAGCTCTATGAATAGAAATAAGTCATAAAAGGGCTAGACAAAGGTGATGTTTGTTGCCCATAAAAACAATGTTTATGCAACAAGTGGGCACAGGTCTGTCACAGAAGGGATCACATAAAGATGAAAATCAGTAAATTAATTCCTGTGTAATTTGAAAATCCCAAACAGCACAAAGCATAGAAATCAGAGTGTTGCATTAATAATATGGAAGTCCAGCAAAACAAGGCAAGATTTTTTGCCTGTTTTTAGTCCTGGTGACAAGGGGCACATTTAACTTCAAACTCAAACCCTTTCCCATGCAGCCCATACTCCAACACCTACCACGTTGTTTGCACATTGATGCGTCTTTTGCGGCTTCCCAACTTCCACATTGCCGGATATCAGGTCACACTCCAAGTGCACAGGAGCTCAAGGCTTCTTTCTTACTCCAGGCAATGAAGCCTCTCCAGGGACAGCAGTGAGAACTGGTGAATGACCGGGGCATAGCAATTACCAGACCACACTTCAGAATTATGCTGAGAAGCAATAATGCTGTAAGAATACCTTTGTCAAGCCTGAAGAACTAAGTTTCTGGTCCTACCAGAACAAGGTTAAAAGCAGAATTAATAAGGTCAGAGCTTTGAATGTCAAAGCTGTCAAGATTTTAATCTGAAGACCTGCTGTCTAAGAGACCATAACCCATAGTTTTGGGCAGTCTGAGGCATGATCCGTGGCCCTGTATCCCTTGTTCCACAGAAGTTCCACGAGAACCAGAAGTTCACTAGAAGTTCAGAATAATTTGCAATTTCCTCTCAGGACGTTTTGGCAGAGGACATTTCTAGATAAACTCTGACAAGGTGAAGACAGAGAGAACATGAGAGAGCTTAAACAGTGGAGAAGAGAGCGTCTGTAATTAGAGTGGGCAGGGCTCTCACCAGAAAAGCAGCTCTGTAGCTTCCACCATGGCCAGACTCAAGAACTCATGCCAAATGGCTGCAAGCAAAATGCATGTATGCATTACTATTTCCAAATGATAAACAAAAATAATTAGTCAGAACCTAAACACCCCACTGCATAGAGATCCCTGATGCACCGGTGAGTGTCTATCATGTGTCGATCCACTCAATAACCACATTGCTTCCAATACACAAAATATATTATTACATTACATGGTTACTTCATGTCAGGAACATATAATCAAGACTGCACAACTCAGCATGTATCTGATTACGTAGAAGATCTTCAGATAGGCCTGTCTTTACTTATGTGGACTGTGCCATGCAAAGTCACAATGCTACTGAATGACAGAAACACCAATATATTACAGTCTACTTAGATTACTCCACTTTTCACACACCCAAGTTGAAGAATATGTATAGGATATTTCCATATACCTGCCCTATCCTCTGTACTTATAGTCTTCAAAATTCCAAACTGAAAACAAACTGTATTATCCAAAATTAAATTTCTTCTATTTAGAGATCATATTCCCTTCATTAGATCTCATTTGGGATGTTTTCCTCTCTTCATACTTGTGGTACCAGGATAATGTTAATCACCTTTTCTCAGTCATCCACCAACTTTAAATAAGCATATTCAAGATTATGCAGTTAAAGTAGTTTTAGGTAGGATGCTTGTGTAGGAAGTTGCTACAACAACAGTATCTAGGAACCATAGGTCACGCCCAGCTTATATAAACTCTAGCTTATTTAGGGGAGTCAGAGCCCTAAGACTTTCATTATCAACGTTGGTGGAAAAGGATCTAATGTTCTCGCTGAGTTTTGTACCCATAAACTGAATTACTCACCAGTGTGGAAAAGAAGAAAGAAACCTTATGGCTGGTAAGTTAAAAAAATAGCTTGATTGCTCCAGACATCACTCAGATATCTGATATTTGCTGAGGAAACAAGATATATTACACAAAACTGTTCTCTTGAAAAATAAGCTCTTCTTTAGATTAAATGCATTTATGGTTTAGTCTAGTAGAGTTGATTTTCTTCTCTAATCTCATGGGTCTTTAAACTCTATTTTTCTGTTATAAAAAAATAGTCAAGAAAAGACTGTATCAAATTAATTGTCTATCTATTCTATACAGCCATTTTGCTGCTACTATAGATGTACCGTTGGTTAGTGATTTTAGCATCAAGCTGCCACTTAGAAAGCCTACACTCTAATCCTTCTCTGATACTAAAATAACAAGGTGTCCTTGAACACCTCATGGCATCTAGATTCCCATGTCCACTTCACAGCAAAGTTAGCCTGCTAGCCTGAGTGCTTCTCAGTAGGTCAATCCAAATTATAACTATGTACAGCATTGTACATGTTCTCAATCCCAGACTAACGAGGAAGATCTGTAGTAAGACAGACATATAATTGACAGACAAAGCCTATTTACACTCTAATTTCAGCATGTTTTCTATCACAGCTACAGCATTCTGTTAGAGGTAATAAGTGACAAGAATCTTGTGTGCCTAAGGTTCAGTATTTTTAGAAGCAGACCCTGATTTTGCAGACTTCTGATTATAAGTGAACTCCCAAAGTTTACTTATTAGCTGGGTAAGTGATTATCTTCTAATTTTTTAGAAGTCTGTCCAACTGTACACTCATGAGTGCATTGGCAGGATTTTTGCAAAAGTTTTTCCAAAGGACAGATACTGGAAGTAGGAAAAAAAAAAATAAGGGCAAGATTAAAAATAACATTATAAAGAACAAAAGGAGGAGAAATTTGAAGTACACATGTTAAAAATCCAGTATTAAAATTTACTGTGCTTTGCCCCATACATAAACCATTTTTAGGTAATCTCTTGGAAGTATTCACCAGAAATAGCTTTGTAACTATTGACTTTGAGCAGAGGAAAGTCAAAATATGAACACAGCAAATTCTTAGAGATAAGCAGTGGTACCTACTGCCTTCTTTTCTCTTTTCCTTCTCCAAGCGTTCCGTTTTATTGTGTTCTACATCTTGTCTTTACCTCTGTCATTCCTCTCTTAAGGAATTGCTGTTTTCTTTAGGCCCTCTTCAGTAAATTATATTAAAGCGTGAAAATAAAGTCACAATGCATGCCACAAAGTTCTCTAGCCATTTATGTCACATCACTGAATTACAGGTCCTATCAAAGTCTTTTGTTTGCTTGTTGTTACGGGGGGTTTTTGTTTCCAGGATCAAGCATGTACTGACTCATGAGAGTCTTCATGTTTGTTTCTGCACAGCTGTAAAGCATCTTGAGAAACAGAGATCCTGCATAAAAAGAGCAGAAACATGGCGAAACAGAATCATCTCTTCCAATTTAAAGAAAAATGTTTTTAGATAAGAATTTGTGCATGAGAGACAGATTCTATAAATGTTTTTTTTTCTGTCTCTGAGAGATAACCCCAGAAAAAAATATTTTACAAGCTTGTTTGTTGTTACAGCTTTTAAAATAGTGTTTTAACCGTGGACTTTGCTGCATTTTCACAGATCATATATGGATAACTCTAGTAAACACAATAAAATAGCTAATGTCAAGTAAGCAAACAAGATGAACAAGTTTAAAGGAATAATGCTCCTAATTAAGTTGCTTTGCATCTTTCTAGCCCCCAAAACAGCAAGCGTTAATTGGCAAACCAAACAGAATAAAGCAGCACATCACACATCTGACTACAGCAGTACAGAAATAATCTTGAGAAGAGGACAGGCCTTTACCATCACCCTGAACTTCCAAACAAATATACAGTCTGGAGACAACTTTACATTTGTTGCAAGCACAGGTAATTCCTCCAAAACACTTACCTCACGTACAGGTTACTCCAGCTCCCAAAACACCCATACCCTCAAGTTTTCTATATGGCTCATTCCTGAATGACTTAAACCTTGCTGAGCCTGTCGTTCAGGTCTCGTTGACTTTAATCTGCGAAGTTGCTAAGCTTAGGGTCTCTCATTTTAAAGTTCAGTCTACACCCTACAGCAACAGACAGTTAAAATAATCATTAAAGACAACTCCTAAGAACCTACTTGCTATATTGCAAGATGTCTTCATTCTGTCTGTGCTCTCTGTCTCTCACAAACCACCATCACCTGCTGTTCCCCTCTTCTGCCACTTCACCTGTTTACACTCGTTTACCTTCATGCCTTCTACTCAGAGTTCCCTGTCTCTGGAACATGACCTCATTTGCTAAGACTTACATCTGTACCTTCCAGGAGGCTTCTCCAAAAAAGCAGCCCATGGAGCTGCTAACTCTTAATGAAATGCATATTTGAATGTATGTCCCTTCCTGACGAGGTATTTTTAAACTGTTGAGTTTTCAGAGCAAGGACTTGCTCCTTGTCTAGAATGATTATGGGCATATTCATCTTCAGTGGGTCAGGGGAATGCATGGTGCAATTCTGCATACTATAGCTCATTTACACTTGATGAACATGGTTTGGCAAACCACAGTCCTTCAATGTACTCAAAAAATAAAGAATTGAGATCTTCATTTACCCTCTGCTCGGCACTCACTTTTCTCACTCAGTATTGCTGTCTCCTGTTTCCTCTGGCAGGACCATCCCCAGCAGAATCCTATCAGACTAAGGCCATATTTAACCCTTCTGAGGATTGCAGCAGTGGCTGGAGCGCCATCCAAGAGTCCAGTGAGCCTGGCTGCATGACCTTCACGATATCCAGCCCGGCGAACGCTGTCATCGGAAGATACAAACTCATACTCCAGATTACTTCTGGGAAAAAGGTTTCTTCTACGCTCTTGGGCCAGTTTGTGCTACTGTTCAATCCCTGGTGTCCAAGTATGTTTCAACATATCACGTCCTTAATATAATTCATTGTCTCAGGAAATCTGGGTGTCACAGTAAAGCACATACTTGTCAACGACAGCTACAAAATGATTTTTTGCAAGGATCAACGACCTTGTTCTCATTCCCTTTTCAGCTTTGGAGTTCATTGAAGAAGCAGCCTCTTGCTAGGACAGTAAGTAATGAGAGAGAGGAAACAGGGATAGGGGACAGCCCTGAGTCTGAATGCTGAGGCAGCCTGACCTGTTCTGTGGAACACCCAGTGAAAAGAGATTTCCAGTTAGAAGAAAACAACTGTTCTTTCAGCTAACGTGTCTCATTCTATTTCTAGATGATGATGTCTATATGGCTAATGAAAAGGAGCGACACGAGTATATTCTGAATGACAGTGGTATCATATTTCAGGGACTGGAAAAGTATATCCAGCAAGAAGCATGGAATTATGGACAGGTAAACACATTGCCAATTCCTGATGTTTGACAAATAAGAATGGTGGATGGATGAGGGTCTTGAGGAGACAATCATTATCTTATAAGAGTTCTTCATTCCTCTTTCACTTTTGCCTTTCTTTCAATCTCCATATGTCAGTTAACAGTATGTTATATCAGCATCTGAATCATTTCCTCTCTCTGCCATTTGTTAGTATAGAAATAAAGGAAATAAAGAACAATCTTAATTTTCTTTTACCTAATACACAAAATAGCAAAAATCTACCTGTTTCTTGTCCTTTAGACAGGACAAAGGGAGACATTCCAGTAGTAACATCTACTTATTGTAAGGCTCGTACATCTAAACATTTACATAGTTGCTTCTGTAATAGGGGCAGAAAACAAAGAAAAGAAATTTAGAAGGCCATTTTCAGAAGTAGAATATCCAAAATTTACCGAATTGAAACAACCCAAGTTTGATTGATTTTTTTTTTTTTAAATCAGTTTGGCCTTCCAAACATACCTGCCACAAACAGTCGTAACTGCAGCTCATCTGTAGTCATACAACTATCCCGCAATTTACTAGGCCAGTCACAACCATTCCTGACCACTTCATGCCTTACAGCTGCATTCCTATAATTGCACGGGTAGCATTCCTATAAATCCTTTTGAATACAGTGGCTACTTTTATGCTAATAAATGAAACAAATACAGATTTGTTTTCTGTCTCTGAGATCAAGCGGGATCCTTGCTTGACCATGGACACAGAACATCGCACTCTACCCTGGGCCTCCTTGGGGCGCAGCATGGTGTGGCTCTAATGTATAGTAATTATTTTTGTGCTTTATTTTTAAGTTCAAATCATCTAATATATTGTGAAGGCAGCCCATCAGAGTGATGTGCTTTCATAAGGGGAAGCGTGTATGTTAGTGTGGAAGGATGTGGAAGGATGTGGAAGGAAGTGGAAGGAAGTGGAAGGAAATGGAAGGAAATGGAAGGAAGTGGAAGGAAATGGAAGGAAATGGAAGGAAGTGGAAGGAAGTGGAAGGATGTGGAAGGAAGTGGAAGGAAGTGGAAGGAAGTGGAAGGAAGTGGAAGGAAGTGGAAGGATGCAAAGCCTGCACAGACAAACTTAGAGTGGTCTTGTTTGTCCCATCAGGCCACACCTGAGAAATGGTTTAGTGGACTGATACCCAAATTATGGTTGTAAATATGCTAATTACTAAATACTATGGACAGTCAGCAGTCTATTGCTTGTGTTTTCTCCCTAGTCCTGTTTTCTTTAGCAGTGCAGAAAAAGCCTGTATTACCAATATGGTCTAACTGTGCAAGGGAGAAAGAATTAGGCAGTGAATTTATCCTTGATTCTATTCATAAAAATAACCTTAAAAATAAATTGCCTGTTTTGTTCTCAGTTTGAAGAGGATATCCTTGACATCTCTCTGACTATATTGGATCGAAGCCTGAACCACCGCCAAGATCCTGCCACTGATGTGTCCAACAGAAACAATCCTATCTACGTGAGCAGAGTCATCAGTGCTATGGTAATATGCTTGATTAATTACAGCCTTACAATATATAGACTATCAAAAATCCCAACACCTCTGTTGTGAAACTCTTCAATGTTTTATAGGATTTTATAGGCCCTGTGTACAAAATAGCTATAGGAAAGGAAAGGAAAATACTTTTTTTTTTTTCTCAAGGAAAGATACTTCAAAAGTTTAATTTAAGTTTTCCCAAAAAGTCTGGGCACAACTGAAAGAATGAAAAATGCTTCCAAAATCTTTTTTGGAACACTGAATCTCACAAGAATTTTCCTAATATATCTTCATGTACTTAGATGTCTTCACTGATTTGGAAGGCCTGTGTCCATTCTGAAATAACTTACTATGCTTTTCAAATATCTTGAGAAACATAAAGTATTTCTGAAAACTAGGATTTGTATGGCTGCATTTAATGTGTATATTCTATTATAATTCACTTAGGGGGAATTCTTTAAGTAAGCTTTTATGCATTTCCTTCAACAAACAGTTAAATATTCCCCATCCTCATACAACTACAGATACACAATTAGGCAACTGAAAATTTTTCTGTTTTATATATAATACATGCCTTATCACATTCCTTATCTGAGATTCCTTTTATAAATGTTATCCTTTCCGCCCTTCTAGACAGTACTCTCTTTAAGCAATTTCAATATTAAGTAAATAACTTTATCTAGACTTACAAAATTACTGAAATTCCAAATACTAAAGAAAAATCCATCATCTAAAAGGAACTTATTGTTTTCTATACAATTACACATAACACTTATATAGGCCTCTAAGATGGATATGCACAAATACACAGAACCACATTTAACACACTCGAGCAAACTAGATATATTCAGAGTTGCAACACAGACATGTTTAAGTCAGGCTCAGATTGGCAGTACTTGTTTGTTTAAGGGGAGAAGAAGAAATATGTACTTTATTTAAATAGGACAGTAGTCACCACATTTGGGACATTTTTACTGAAAAGCAAGGCAGTTTTGAATATCAGAATACAGCCTGAGCTGGACTTGATCCAATTGCTGCACGTAAATAAATAACACTGTCTCAAACAAAGAAACCTGTGATGTGAACTGGCTCACTTTTTTTCTATTTCCTTCTCTCCCTTTTGCTATAAATGTTGTAATTCACTCACGAGAAGGACTCTTTCAGGTTAACAGCAACGATGAAAAAGGAGTGGTGCAAGGGAAGTGGAGTGGAAGGTACTGCTCAGGAACCAACCCCTTGCAATGGAGCGGAAGCGTGAGCATCCTCCGAAAGTGGCACAGAGGGAGATACAAGCCTGTACGATACGGCCAGTGCTGGGTCTTTGCAGGAGTAATGTGCACAGGTATACTTGAAAGGAAGAATACTATCAAAAAGGAAGCTTCTTAGGATTCCTGTAGTTTTAAACTTGGAATACTATTGTTGAAGCTGCTGCAGTTTTGACAGAGAAAATGAAGATCCTATGTTCTCCTTGTATGAAGGGCTATTTTCCATTTTAATCAGCCATCATCAAACAAGGTGCAAAGTTGTTTATCAAGCTTGGCTGGTGAACGGAGCTAGGTTTGCTGGTATTCAGAGAAAATCAGTGCTCTGGTAAGTCTGCCTCCTTAAGATGCACGTTTTCTACTGTTGTGTCTAGCTGTTTTGTGATACCAAAACAAATCACAATTCTGAGGGCCTGTAAAGGGAGCTGCAAGCAAGGAGAAGCATTTCATCCTAGCTCAGAACTGCTCTGAGAGACAAGAATCCCTTTGAAAAAACACAAAGAGAGAATAACGCAATCAATAAGTATGTTCTAGACAGCAAGAGCAAAAAGAAGCAAGTAATAAAAACAGACAAAAGGAGAGAATTAGAGAGAGAACAAGATGAGGGATGAAAGATTAAACTAAGTATGTGAATCCAACTGTTCTTATAAAGAAAAGAACGTGGCAACTAAGAACAGCATGTGAAGGAACTGTCATATAAGCAATTGTGTATAACAACTATGTTACATCCCTGCAGCATATCTGAGAGGGAAGTTTCTGAGGGTTTCTTCTCCCTCCAAAAGCATGTATACTAAACTGTTTTGCCAAGAAAAAGATAGAAATACTTTCTAAATGTCTGTAAAATAGGTTTATAGTACTTTATTGGTATTATATGTTGCAGTTCTGAGATCCTTGGGAATACCTACCCGTGTTATCACAAACTTTAACTCTGCCCATGATACGAATATAAATCTGAGTATCGATAAATACATTGACACTTCCGGAAAGACCCTCTACTTGAATGAAGACAGTGTGTGGTAAATATAATCTTTTTCTTAGTATTTCCTCCATTCTCATCTAACCACAAGATTTGGAATTACATTCCTGGAAACCCTGGCCCGCCTCATGCTCCCAATGACATAAAACCCTGCACCAGAGAACGAACAGGGCATGTTCAGGAAGGCACGATGTAGTCAGTTTTTTTATTCTGAAGACTTAATAGTGGAGAGCCTTGGCACCACCTCTATTTAACATATATTTTTAATATGGCTTCTAAAAAGCTTTAGACTCAGCTCCTCTGCTAAACAGTGACTGTTTATCATTACACAACATGTAATTTTTGTGACTGTCATCATTTACACACCCCTTACACAACAGAGAGCGATTACCAAAGTAAAGGTAATGCATTTACTACAACAGAGAAAAATTTCATCCCACACATCAAAATAACTTAGGAAGAACTTGATATTTCTTCCATATCTCAGAAAAACTTTCTGTTTAAAATGATGCTTTTGACAAACAAGTAGGCAGATACTACTACATTGCACACATGCATTGCATCTGTATGTACTACTGATTCATTCACTGAACACCCTGTATCATGTGGACTGAATGGAACAAGGGTCACATGAAGTAAAAAACAATTGGGAATTAATATCAATATTGATTAATAAGTAATGTACATGTGAGATCTTCAACTATACAACCTTAGTTCTAGAATGTCCAGATTTGGTAAAAATGAGGGTGAGGGGAGAGGGGGGAATGGAAGAGGGGGGAAAGAGGTTCTCAAGAAAGGAGAAAAGACTTGGCTTCTCCACAGAGGAATTATTATTGAATTGACTACTATCATTTCTTGCCTTCCACCAAAAATACAACAAATCTTCAATACAGAATGAATTTGATTAGTCAGGAATTCCCTATTTTCCTTCCCTTACAGGAATTTCCATGTTTGGAATGAAAGCTGGTTCATCAGAAGAGATCTTGGCTCTTTTTATGATGGGTGGCAGGTTCTGGATGCAACTCCCCAGGAAAGAAGCAAAGGTAACACTGTTGTAAATTTAAAAAGCTGTAAATATTCTTACTGTAACTGCAGGATAACTCTCTTCTGACTGCTCCTTGTAGACATACCATTAATTTGGTCACACAGGAAAAGCAATAACGAAATCAGTCTTCTGTAGATTGCCTTTCTGTCAGCCTCTGGAGTCCCTAAGTATATAAACATATTTAGACAGTGCAACTTCAGTTCACTCATCCTTGCTTTTCTTAGCTCCTAGCATTACACAGAATCATAAAATCACACAGAACAGCTGAGCCTGTGCTCAAAGCAGGTTGCTCAGGGCTGTGAGGGTCAAGGTTTGAATATCTCCAGGCCTGGAGAATCCACAATCTCTCTGGGCAACCTGTTCCAGCGTTTGACCACCCTCACAGTAAAAAAAGGCAGAGTTTTTTGTTTGTTTGTTTTTTATTACATTTCAATGGAATTTCCTGGGTTTTAATTTGTGACTGGTTCTTGTCCTTTCACTGGATATCGCTGAGCAGAATCTGGCTCTGTCTTCTTTACAGCTCCTATTAGGTATTTATGCACATTGATAAGATACTCCCCAATCCTTCTCCTCTCCAAGCTAAACAGTCCCAGATCTCTCAGCCTATCCTCTTAGGAGAGATGCTGCAGTTCCTTCATCACCTTCCTGGCTGGACTCATTCTAGTATTGACATGACCCTCTTGTACCGGGGAGCCCAGAACTGGACGCAGGACTCCAAACGTGGTCTCACCAGGCTGACTAGAGAGGGAAAAAAGCTTCTGCATACTGGCAGTACTGTTGTTGGTGTAGCTCTGGTTATTCTTGGCCTTCCTTGCCACAAGGACACTTAGTTGCAATCAGATTTTCTAGTTTGAAATGGATGGCTTTAGCAGCATAAATAAATAAATAAAGTCTTGTTAGTAAGATGCTAGGTAAAGTAGCTAGAGCTTGCAATTACAAGGTCAAACCAAAGACATTATAGTAAAAAACAAAATATACCATGTGGTTCTAGCCTGTACAAAACCCACTGGGAGGGATAGAAAAATATTTCAAAAAAATGTACCTGTGGCATTCAGCAATCCGACATACATCTAAAATACTAAATTAAATGAAAGAGCACATCAACTCTTCTCTGGTTCTGAAACAAAGTGGCATCAAATGGCTTTTGTTCACAGAACTAAACGCTCCTCCTTCCCAGGCCAGAGTCTGGGACAGCACAGTCTGTGTCCCAGCACAACCTGCTGGGAACGAAGCCAGGCCTGCCCCATTCCTTGCACAGGTCACAGCTGCTGTGTGAAAGACTCCCCATTAGCACGGCACGGGGAAGTGCATACTGAGAAGCTTTCTAGCAAGCAAACAGTATGGGTGACCATTGGCCAGCACCTGGGTTCACACCTTGGCTCAGGCTTATTTACTAATGCAAACACAACCTCATGAATTGAGTATTATGACTCCCATCAAAAGATTCATTTATTTGGCCATTTTAAACCCTCCAAAGCCCAGATCAATTGTTTCTCATTCCCTGCTACATATTTTACCAAGTTGAACATCCTGCTTCTTTTCTACATATGTACATCATTGATCACATCCCTAAGTTTGATCGTATTTTTGACGCAGCTCACACCATCCTCTTGCTTTCACTACACAACTTAGCAAGCTTTAGAGGATTAGAACATTTCACACTGCTCACAACTTTCCTATCCCCTCTGTGCTCCTAGATTTTGATAGAGGTGCTGCTACTACAATGCACAGATCCTGAAATCAGGCACTTCATTCAAACATTGTTTGGAGCAATTACCTCTCCCTCTTGCTGTCCGTGTGAGGACTTGCGGGCTGCACCTGCCCTTTCACAGCAGGTAATCATTTAACTTCTCTTTGTCTAATACAGGCATATTTCAGTGTGGTCCTGCCTCCACCAGAGCCATTAAGGAAGGGGATGTGAACCTGGATTATGATAGTTCATTCGTGTTTGCAGAAGTGAATGCTGACTACGTTACTTGGATCTGCTATAGCAATAAAAGAAAGGAGAGAATTTACTCTGATACTAGGAAGATTGGAAAATTTATCAGCACCAAAGCAGTGGGCACTAAATCCCGGGTGGATGTCACTGATAATTACAAATACCCAGAAGGTAAAGTCTTTGCTACAGTTGTCTTAACACTGATAGCCAGAATTGACAAGGACGTAGGCTCTGGCAGGGATCACTGATTTAATTTGCCCCTTCTGGATTGGAGTAATTGTGAATTTTCAATGTCTCATGGTTCATTTACAGTTAGCCTATAATGAGTAAATGTGGACCTCATGACCCACAATGAAGTATTAATTTATTCAATACCCAATCCAAGCTACTTACGCAATACATTCTGTCCCAGCAGTTCTGATCAGATGGTGACAACAGTCTGTTACAACATGCAGCAACAGGCATTCTGGAGAGTAATTTGGGCAGACTTTCTGCACGAGTCACACAGAATTTTTCCCCTTTTCATTTTCCAAGCAGATGGCAATTCCCCCAACTCAAACAGAACTGAGTTCTCCCATGAGCTGCTAACTAAAGCCAACAGGCAGGTTTAACTTTTGAGCCTTCATGGCTATGTATATTCACTTGCTTTTGTGTCCATATTAGCCTTTAGGTTAGGCCTCCACTTTGTCCCCCCAGGCATCTTTGCCCTCTTCAGCTTCCCTTCTTGGCTCTACACCCAGCATGTGTAAAAGCTGACCATGTTATCTTTTAAAGCAGGATCCTTGAAAGAAAGGCAAGTATATAAAAAAGCACTGAGACTCCTTGGTGTGAGAAGCACTGGAAGAAGAACCAAAACTAGAGGACACGGCCAACGATATTCTGCAGCACAGAGACGACGTGTGACAGAGTCCGCAAGAAAGCCCAATATCTCAGGGAAGTTCATCATCAATGCATCTCCTGTAATCGGCCAAGATGTCCTCCTTACCTTGGCACTCAGAAACTTGATCTCAGATTTCAAGACTATCAAGATTAAGCTGAGGGCTTCAGCCATTCTCTACACAAGAAAACCAAAGGCAGAGATTTTGCAACGGTCTAGATTTATTAAACTTGGACCTGAAGAAGGTAGGTAATTTTAATTTTATGACAGCTCAGAATAAGTCATAGCTTTGGTTTTTGACCAAATCACATATAAATCATATATGGATCAGAAAGTGCATGACCTGATAATAGGTGAAGATTAGGACTATTCAAGCTAATAGAATCACATATACTTGCCCTGTTCTTAAGTGTTTGCTTTTGGGTATAGTCAGAAAAGACAGCTCAGTGACATTTTGACACAGCACAGCCAGTTTGATGTGTATCATGATCTTTTCTGCTAACAGACAACCAAGAGAAATGCACCACTACTCAGCTACCAGCTCTCGAGCACAGTAAAAAGACAAATGAAAGGAAGAGACATAAGCTTATCTCTTTTGCAGCAGTAAGACAGTAACTACAGACTGCAAAGGAAAAAGTTGTGCTACCTGCAGATTGTGGCGTTGACCCTGCTTGTATAGAGACAAGAAAAAAATACTCTCTCAAGTCAATATCAAACATTACAAATCTTTCTACTATTCTGTCAGTAGGGTTTGGTTTTTTTTTTTTTTTTCCTTTCAATGCACTGATTTCTCCTGCCTTTCATACTGGCACAGAGCCTCTGAGGGTGCATCCTCTTCCAGGCAGAAGCTCAGCACCCTCGAGGCCATTTAAAACAGGTTATCTTTTCATTTCTACCTCCTTTGCAAGGAAGGAGCTTTAAATACACAGCTTCGGGTTATTCATCAGAATGCCACCAGAAAGGTTTGCCACAGATATCTATCCTCTGATTAGTCCAACTTCTGAGCCATACTTAATCATTTAGCATTTGAGGTCAATGTAAGTAGGAGTCATATATAAGCATAATTCCTGTCTATAGGCTGTCAACAGCCACAAAAAACAGTCACCCAAGGCGATAGCATCCTTGCTCCTTAACATACAGAAAAAATACAGAAACACTACAGATACCTCAGACAGTACTTAGATAAACACACACATTAAAAAAAAAAAGGTAGAAAATGGGGAATTTCTGCTTCTTTTGAATTCCAGAGAAAGAGATTTCATTCAAGATCTCCTACTCCCAGTACAAAAACTCTTTGAGAGATGACAGGAAGATTCTAGTGACTGCTGTGTGTGAAGCCAAACAGGAAGCTTCACTTCTAGTGGAAAAAGATATTATACTTCAGGATCCTTTTATCACCATCAAGGTAACAGCTAGTCTCTTCTGCATCCTCAGCAGGACAAGTGCTAGAAAGCAGCAACTAGAACCATGGGGAAAGAATGTGAATCTTTCTTGAAGGTGATTCTATCTTGAGTTGTCTTTATGTTGCTTTAGTAACAGGCTTTATGATGCAAGTGAAATGAAATACACTAAAGAAAAGCAAACTATTCCATGGCATAGCTGTTGTTCTTATCCATAGTTGTTGACAAGGCACTGATAAACTTCTGTCAAGCCATGTTTGTTTCCAGATAAGATCATCTCTCTATATCTCTTTCTGTCTTTCTCCCTGCCTCTCTCTGTCCCATCTTCCCACTGATTACTAACTAGAACTGGAAGCTATCACATCTTTTTAAAGTAAAATCTGTTTTGGTCATTTCAGCACATTCATATGCTATATCAGGTGAGATCAAATGCTGCCTGTCTACTGGGCTGTAAACAACACAGAAGGAATACAGTAACTCTCAGTGTCTTTCAGAGCCTCCAGACTAGATCAGCTATCCCAAATCACACTCCTGGTAGCATATTAGAAAAGGAAAGATATACACAGGAATTAAAATTGGAAGTTTTGGTGGTTCTGTTTCCTGAATACATGTCTAGTTACTTTGTAAGTACCCTCCTGTGCTGTATCATGTAGGAAGCAGAGCTGGCCCACTAGGGTGGACATCTAAACTAAACTGTTCAGTAATAAATTTCAAAAATGGTTTGTGCTTCTACACATGGAAACCTCTATTCCGACATACATATATTGAATGATAGAGTAATGCAGCAGCGGTGCTTTTTTCCTCTTGTATTACATTAACAGAGCATAATATCTACACAAGATGATGAGATATGCCAATACTACCTTATCTTAGTCAAAATAAGGTTATGAATAGATGTATTGCTACTTGGCATTCTTTTTTTTTAATTTTTGCCTCAGACACCACAATTCATCTCTGTCTCAAACCTCCAATATTTTCTAATTCTAATTGTAAACCTCAAAATATACTCATTTAACTTAAACCATCACAGTACTTACCCATATACCATATATGTATAAGCTAATTAAGTGTATTCTTATCCTATTCTCACTCTGACAAGCATCGTGTTCTATACTGTACAAAACATCATATCCTGGCCTAGTTAAAAGGTCAGGATTGATTCTAGAGTAGTTTTTACTTCTTCAGACAGGCTGAATCAGGCTTGATGTTAGAATCAAGCCTGAACTCAGATTCCTGAGCATATGCACATACTTTAATTCCTGGCTCCTCCCTATTCAGGTGATCCTAAGAAGGTAATAAAGTGGTCTGCTACGGACAAAAAAAAAAGCAAAGACCATGGAAAAGAAATGAGACAAATGCTGCAGCTCAGCAGAATGTTTTCCCTCCACAGGTGCTTGGTTCAACTGTGGTACATAAGGCAATTAACGTTCAAGTGACATTTACCAACCCATTGTCTGAAGTGGTGACAGACTGTGTCCTGAGAGTGGAAGGCAGCGGCCTTCTCAAAGAGCAGCTCAAAATCAAGTATGTAAATTCTGCCTAATAACTAGTTCTCTTAGGGTGGGAAATATGGAATAAAAGATTTTTTCTTTAATTCTGTCAACCTCATGACTTTAATTTGTCACTAAGCTGGAACAAAATACAACCATGTTAGCATTCTCCCCTTATCAATGGAATATACTTACACCTTCTTTGCTGAGCTTTCAATCACAGAATGCTCAGGGAGTAGAGAAATGGACTGCTGTAATGATAAAATGTAACTCAGATTACTGTAGTTAGTGGCTGAATTACATAACGGGCAAAAAACTTAAATCTTTCTCTTTGCGGGTTGCCAAAGAATCACAAAACAAATCTTGAAGGACAATAAAAAAGTGACAATATCTTTTTTTTTCCTCTTTAAATACTCAATCATCGAAGAGCCAGTATGTATACTCTAAAGAAATGATTTACAAACCCATCTACTGGTATCATACAGGCCAGAAAATGTTCTCTCATCTTTTCTATGCTATGCTGATTATTTAAAACTTTTTAACAAGTCTCCAAAATATCTACGCTGGGGGGTTTAGCATCAAGAAAATATGTGACAGAAAAAAAAATAACTGGATGCTAGATAATGGGGTGAATCAGCAAGGCTTCATTTACATGAACACAAAATGCAGGCCTAGCTGCTGACCCTCGACTACTTAGCCTGCCTCAGCAGTGGAAGTCCTGCTTCCAGGCTATAATGTCCAAGTCTAGATCCTGAGGGACTGCACGTACACCATTTGGCTACAGAGTTCTACTCACAGGCAAAAAAGTTTCACAGGTATCCCTCATCAATATTAGCAAGACCAACTGATTCCACATGGGAAAGAGAAGGGAAGGAAAGAGCAGACAGCTCTTCCTCATCATGTCTGTGGGAGATCAGCTTCAGTATCTCTTTGGAGGAGAAGGATCTTCTTCCCTCTCTCTGCTTCTTAATTTTACTAACGGTCTCCTTTTGTTGGACAGTCAAGAGTCATTCCTAACTATGGACATAAAAACAATAAGTAATTACGTTTACTGCACTAAAATATATATAGCATGAGTATATCTAGAGCACTACAAATGTTCTGCGTGTTGAAGGTAATGCATGCAGTAACGCGTACAGTTGGACTTCTGCCCTTTTGAAGATAGCCTTCCCCACTACCATGCAGGTACTCAATATAACTGCCATCCTCAGGACAAAGTTTTTATCTTAAAACTGCTAATTCTCTACTGCAGATCGAGAGTTTCAGCTATTTCAGTACATACCCACTCCAGCTTGGTTAGATGGGCTGTGAACATAACAGGTTCTGTCTATCTGTTTCAGGAGCATGCGAACACAGCAGCCACTTATCTTGACTCTTCATACGGTCTTGTATTTGCAGACTTTCAAGAATACATAGTACAAACTTCTTGGATGTTTGAACTAAAAATTGTCTTCTCTCTTTTAGTGTAGCAAGAATGGCCCCTATGGAAAGCTCAACTGTTCAGTTTGAAATCATCCCCTACAAGACTGGAACCAGGCAGCTTCAGGTGGACTTGGTTTGCACTCATTTTTCAGATATTAAGGGATTTATTATTCTTGACGTGGCTCCTGTTCAGTGATAAAACCTGTGCATAAGTTCAGTTATGTCTTGGTTTATATGATGTTCAGGTGTTCAAATGTTATGAGCAAGAACACAGAAGTGCAGATTATCCAGTGATGTAATCAAAAGTGCACCATTAAATCAATAAAAAGCTATTATATGCTATATTGTAAATATTATATATTTTTCATTTCCTAACCTGTTTTATGGATCTTCAGGAATGGAAATACTAATGGAAATCATAACTTAACTTGAAGGACAGAGTCAAGTGTGAGGGTTTTCAGCATTACAAGCCTTCAAAAATGATAGCAACTACATTTTCAAGGGACATCATTTAAAATGACTGGTTTCATAAGCTTCATTAAGCATAATTGAATTACATTCATTAATTATTTCTAGTTTAACATATGACTAAATCATGTATCTGAGCAGGGGAACTGTGAATTAAATAATATTGTTTATTGAATATCTCATTTTTTCCAATCATGAGAAGTGCCATTCAATTACTGTCACATCATTGTTTTTCCTTTTAGAAACTAGCTGAAATGGCAAAATTAATTTTAGAATCAAGTTATCAGTTCCCTACTCAGAACTATGACTCATTTATGCGTTAAGCTAGAAATTAAATATTCCGCAAATAAGTGACTGGAATAACAGTGTGAAATACATCCCTGGCAAAGGGACTGGCACATCTGAATAAGACTAGGTTGGACATAGCCATTCCCAAAAACTGCAGTGAAGGCAGAATGCCACCAAACACATAATAGGTGCTATGTAATCTGGACAGTGGGATATCTTTACTTACACAACACTTCAGTCAAATAGTCCCTCACATATACATATTTGTCTCAAAATGCCCAGTCTCCTTCTGGATGAAGTAAGTAAAGGAATGAAATTTCTCCAAAAATGAAAGAATGAACCTGACAGCCAACTTCACTGAAACCTAAACACATTCCATTTCCATCTGTGATATTCTCTAGTTAAGCGCTATGCCAATTTTCTTGTATGCACATCATACAAATGTATTTCCTCAGATAGCCTCAGTTATTACTTACCTGAATTAGTTGTATCGGGAAAAAAAAATAAAGAGCAGCATTGAGCTCACTGGGAAACAAGAGATATCAGGAAAAATACCATGTAAGAGATGTCTTATAGCCCTTATATTATGGCATCATCCCCAAGACTTGTTCAAGTGGCTGTGTTTGTATGGCATACTCTAAAATCACTCTCTATGAAGCTTCTGGACACTATAGATTCAAATATACATATTTGCACCTTAATGAAAATTTTAAATTGAATCTGTTAATGTTTTAACAGCAGTTTGCACAAAATTTGTTGCTGCATAACACTGTATTCAGATGTGACAAACCCACAGGGATCACAAATGGAAATTCTCATGCGGGTCACAAAATACTTTGAAAAAATGGAAGATGAAACAATCACCGTACTCAGAAGGTCTGCTAATCCACAAATACAACCTTCTCTCTCCCAGGAAGAACATACTGATTTGTTCATATCTTAAGTCTCTGCTAAAGTTTCCTTCCCGTATTGATCACATATGCAAAAAAATATTAATTCATGGGTTCTTCAAAGACAATATACTCTTTATAGATACATGCAGCACTCTCTTTTAAGAGGCAGTTTACTAGTTTTAATGAGCTGATATAACAAATAATTAAGTTTCCCAACATTCTGACAACTTAGGTCCTCTGTTTTGCAAAACAGTTCTGGAAGAAGTTCCAGACAAAGCCAAAATTCATACGTATATTGCCCTATGGATGGAAAACACATAAATATTTTCTATTATTAAAACACTTCAAATTAAAATAGTAACTAGAGCACAGCTCAGGCCTAATATGTAACTCCAACCTGAATGACTGCAAAGGTTTATTGCACTTTAAATACACATGACAGACAAGGCAAAGGTGGCAATTTGAAAGACTTTGTGCAGGAAAAGGTGACTGAACTAACCTATTTTTTCAAATCCCAAAATGTGGTTTGTACTGCATCTTCTTCAAAAGGAACCGCAAAGATTACCATGGAGCATTTATAAAGGGTTTGCTAAGCCTAAACATGAGTAATTTCCCAAAAAGAAAATGAATGTGTATAGAATCCCATTTTAGAATGCTCTCTGGCTCATCCCCGGTTAGTCTGAATCTATTGTAGAATGAGTAGAGTAGTGATTAGAAGCCCTAACCAACACAACCAAGCAAAGGTAATCAGTTAATGTCTCAATTCTAATTATTTTGGAATAATGCACTTTGATAAATTTAGGGATATGGGGCTGTGGAGAGGGGTTGGGTGTTTTACTTGGCTCTAAGTGAGAAAATTTTTGTGATAAAATGTGGAGAATAGGCTAAATTTGCCTAAGAAACTACTTCAGAAAAAGCAACCTACATAATGTATTTTTTAGTGTACTGGCAATACCTTTAAGGCTTTTACCTACCCATACCTGCTGTCAAACACATCATGTAGCCCTTTACCTTTATCTTACAAAACCATTGTATCCACCCTCCCAATTCATGCCAAAGAAAGTTCTACCTGTTTCCTTGCATGAACATACATCACCAAGCAGACAGAAAAATAAGACAGATTTTTTTCGTCTAAATAGAAGGATGTATGAAAATTCACAATTAACAGTCACACATCTTCATTGCACAAAGCTGCTTAAAATAGGTCATCATCCTCCCCTGTGAGGAATTCTTTATGGCACTGGTATCTAAATCCCAGCAATGTATCCATGCCTTGGAGAGTTTAACAAGCCAAGGTAATAACAAAGCAAATGTTTCTAAGGGACAATTGCCCCCTTTCATCTTTGCAATATCTAAAACTGCAAAATACTGCAGTCTCAACTGCCCCCAGAAACAACATGTCAGGTTGACTGTCACACAGATTAAACCGAGATTTCAATTCCTTTGATTTAAAGGCAGCAAAATCTTCAAAACATGTGAACTCCACTTTTATTACATCAATTACAATGTTTTGCCACCCACATATATCCTTACAAGGAACTCAGAAGCTTGTCAGAATTAGTCACGTCAGAGAGACTGGAATGAAGACTGCAAAGGGCAAACACACAAACAGGAATTCAGATTTCTCCAGGCAAAGCGGAGGGGAATATGAAGCTTTGTGCCCATTAATTAAGTCTTGCAACAACAGCAAGTGAGGATGTCCCGCTCTTCTAAAACCTCAGAAAAGGCCTTGAGGTAGTGATTGTATTCACAAAATATCATTCAATCTTGCAAAAACGCACAGAATCTCATTACATTTAATGCACAGTACAGCCACACCATTCAAATTCCCTAGGTATTTCTTTCAAGATACGATCCAGGAAATGAATTGAGATGCACTGTTTGCCACAAGAGCTAGACAGAGTCTCATTTGAATTAACTATTTTTAAGGGAAATCTCCTGTTCAAAGAAAGGTCAGCCCTGTAGCTTGTGCTTTGCAGCACTTTAGTGATTTTCAGGGTGTCAGTCCTCAGCAACCACACCTAGCTCAACCTCAGGATTAAAATGAACACCAACCTGGCCACTGCCATATAGAAGAAATACACATTCTTCCTGTGCCAGATGCCAGACATGTGCTCAATTAACATAATGATGTAGATGTTGTACAGAAAAACGTTTAAGTGCCCACGGAAGAATTTAAATACCTTTGGCAAACCTACAATCTTCACACAGCCCACAGTCAGAATTCAACAGGAGTTGGTGAAGTCTGGCTAATTACCAGCATGTGCTTCACAAATATGTGCTTTAAAACTGAGAACACAAGAGGCTGACACAGCCCTCATTCCATTCCGATCATTCAAAAATATCAAGCAATTGCTAGCTGAAATAATCATCATACTTTCGCAAGAGATTCTGCAAAGTCTTGGAAGACATTAGCATCAGGGTCACTGTGATGGTGAATGTTTCTCTCCACCATGCTGTTCTCTTGATTGATTCAGGCAGTCAATTAAATGCTTACCCTTCTACACTGAAAAAGAAAGAAAAAGGAGAAAAAGGAGAAAAATCAGAAAGAGAAAGAGAAGAAAGAGGGAAAAATCAGAAATAGCCATAGTTGGTTTTTTGAAAGCACTTTCATATTTTGGCTGTTACCAAAGTTGCATTAATTTAGCATTTAGTGTACCGAACTTGGGTACCGAACATGGAGGATGCTGTTCACTATAAAAGACAAAATAAAAAGTGCAGTGTAAACATTTGTTGTTGCTCAAAAGAAAAGAAATTCCATCTAAGAGTAAAATTCACATCTAATTCATGGATGTGCCATGCCAGAGCCGTAAATGATGACAGCAAAAAAGGGAAACTTAGCTATCCATACTATTGATGACTTCACTGAGACCCAGATATCAATGATGTTACTGTAACATTTAAGCTTCTATTTTTAAGGATAATGCATAATTTTAGAAATATATGTTTGGACCTGTAAAACAACAGGAGTTACAGAAAACTATCAAGATAACTCTGTAAGATCTGGACAGGATGAATGCTTCAAAGGATACTATGCCTTTCTTTACCTTTAGACTTTTGTTAGCGGATCTGGGCAAAAAGAGTACCAAATTTGTTTGTGACACAATGCTATTTAAATTACTCAAAGATAAAAAAAAAATGATGAACTTCAGACAGGCCCAGCAAGACAAAACAGATGACAATACAATTAGTGAAATTTAACTTGGTAAAAAGTACAGGGGAAATGCAATTCTTACATTCTTATCATGCAGAATTTCATAGCATAAAGTGGAGAAAGAGATCTCAGCATAAGGAGACAGCTCAGCTGGTATTACAGCACCATGCATTTCTATGTTTCCCGCTTAATGAGACATTAGACTGAAAAGCAGACAGGAGAAGACTACTACAAAGAACATTTATAAATAACAAGTACTCTCATAGTGAAATTAAATTCTGCATATCATGATATGCTCAGTCTTGAACATCATCTGCGATAATGCTTGATTTGCTAGGTCAGCCTTGTGCACATTCTTCTGAGGCATCTTTTGTGTATAATGGGAGACAAGACAACAGACTGGATGAACCTTTGTTCTGATCCAGTCTGGCAGGTTGCAGATGCTTATACTCTTGCTGAAGTTTAGAGACAAGTATAGATGTGGCTTGGTTAATTGCGGCCAAGTGAACATTAATTATCATTGAATCATTACAACGAAGAAGGGATTTTATGCAGCTGGTCTCATGGATCTTGTGCACATGATGTTAAGCATGCTAATTCTAGTGCTAATGATACTGGTTTTGAATTCGGAGGTTGAAATTAGCACAAGAAGAGTGCTGGTCTGGCTAAAATTACAGTTTTACAAACAACAATACATACCAGAAGCATTATTTCTGTGTTAAATGCATGAGCAAATTATGTTGACAAACAGCAACCATACTGTACAATGGAGTGAAATAATATGGAGTGGAATACATATTGAAATAAAGGAGAGCTTGAGCTCTCAGAGCATGTGGTGGGCTACTTGCTTAGACTGCTTGAATAAAAGGAAGCCTGGTACCAATATAAACTGGAGAGGTCAATGTGAAAGGCTGTCTAGAAAAGTTGATTTTGTAGGGGACAACCAAACAAAGTAATTTCAAAAGAATGTGGTGACACGTGCTCTTCTGGGAGCTCCAGCAAAGGTGAGCAGGTCCTGCTGGAAGTGTTTTGTTTTTCTGGAGTCAGAAACTCAGAAGCACCTCTATGCAAAACACATATGAAAAGAACTACCCTTAAAACAAGTCTTTAGGACAAAATAAGTTAAAACATTAATGAATTTGTATTTCAGACAAAACCTATTATTTTTCTGAAGGGCCTGAATTTTGCTGGAAGATCTCAGGGCAAAACCTCTGGAGAATCCGTACGGCAAAGCCACCTGTCATTGCATCCGAAGGACTGTTCATCTCCCTACCTCCTGATACAGAATATATCACTCCCAGCAGAAAGCATTGCATTGAAGCTAGGCTACAAGTAACAGGGAGGTAGCCACCTTGTTACCACCAAAACATAATGAACAAAAATACTTCTATGTACACTTGGGAAATCACGTATAAAAGTTCAGACAGCCCTGTATAAAGAAATGTAAATTGTTGATGACCTGCAACAAAACAGATGAATCAGTCCAAAACCAACTTTTTCATAGTGCAGTTATATTTGCAAAACAAAGTGACTACAGCACAGATAGTGTTACTGCTTGCATTTACGGAACATGTATTGAATCAGAACCAAATGGCTTTTGAACTCATAATGAACTGACAAAAATTGAAGAAACCAAAACATAAGAACCCCACATTCCAGATGAGAGGCAATTCACAAGTAGATAATCTCTGCACTTCCTCCTGTTGAGTGTTTTGACCTCTGTCATGGGCAATTCCTTTCTCTGACATCTCAGATGGGAAAGATGAAATATCTAAGGTAGAATTGAAAAATGTCACTAGCTAGAAAGGCACTAAAAGCACTTGGAGCACTGCATAAGGAAGACTCTTTTGAAAGTCTTAACATACAAGAGGTTTCCTTTTTACATCCTTTTTGGGTGTAAAGGGACAAGGGACAATAAAAAAATGTAAAGAGACGCTCCGTGGGTCTCTTTCGAAGGGACGTATTGTCCCTTCATAAAGAGATGAAGGGATAATAAATAGTTCTCTGTTTACAAAGTATTTAATAGTGCCTCTAATTCAGCAATCACTACTTGCCGTTACCAATTTGATCAGGAGGTGAATCTGAACTGCAACTTCCCTGCAGCTGAACTGCAATGAGCTTAGAGGAATCCTCACGGACTGCAGGACACGGAAATGCTATGACGGGATGTCCCTTTCCAAACGGCTGGGCAGCAGCCCCATCCTCTGGCAGTGGATCACATCGCAGCGCAAGCCTGTTCGTGCTGGGCAGTGCTGGGTGTTTGTGGCACACTGAGGGTTCAGAGTCTTTATGTGTGTGGAGAAAAGTCTCATCTGGTCCACAGAACTTCTAGCATACACCTAAATTCCCAGATTAGCAAGGATCCAAGTGATACAACTTTTAATCTTAGGTAAAATTAATCTCAGTGTTTCCTCCATAATCTCCACAGGCATCATCGACATTCAGCATTGCTAGCTCAGGGTTAAAAGAGGGTCAACACGCACCAACTTCTTGAAGAGACAATGCCTCTTGCAAAGCCCAGACTGCAGGCCTGGTGTCATTTCCAATACGCCTAGTAGCAGAACGAGCTCTATGTTTATCAACAAATGTATGGCAGGATGAACAACTGATTTATGACTCGTTCCTCTGTACAGTTCTGAGATGCCTAGGAATTTCCACCACGGTGGTCACAGGCTTCACATTGGCTCACAACACGAACAGCAGTCTGAGTGTGGATGAGGATTATGATGAGAATGGGACACTGCTGACACAGGACAAGAATGTCCATGCCTGGTGAGAAAATACAGCATGGCCCAAATAGGAGCCTGAAACAATGGCTGGGTTTAGGAAGCGGAAAAGGCAAAAAGACAAACAGTTGCAGGGAAATTGGTGGGAGGCAACTCATCTGGGAGCCAGACTACCTGATTTGTTCTTGAGAAATCCCAGCAACAAAAATTCAAGAATTCCCTATTCATACAATCTGTAAAGGAAGAAAAATAGCCCAGTCCAGCTGCAGAAAGTCCACTTGTATCAAAAAACATGGCCTTCGGCCTCCCCAGCATGCACTGAGCTCTTCAAAAGGAGTATCAAAATGGACTGTGATTCAGACAGAACCTTCCTGTACCTCAGTGCTCAATCCCCCATGTAAGCTGCTGATGGTGTCTCTCACAGAATTTTCCATGTCCAGAACGAATGCTGGCTGGCTCGAAGGGACTTGCTACCAAAGTTCAGTGGGTGGCACACACTGGATGCCACCTGTCAGGAGAAGAGCAAAGATAATGTGCGATTCTGTGATTCTGTTATAGATCAAAGATAGGCTTGGGAAAGAGGAGCGTGGAATAAAGCAATTCAATATCCTTCACTTTCCCATACATAAACACAGGAACTAGTCCTATAGACTTTAAAGCAATTAATGATTTATCTGTATAGCTGAGGCTCTATGGCAGCATAGCTCTCTGATGTGCTCCTAAACTAGATACTCTGCAACACCAGTACGGGCCCACACTTGGAGCATGGACCTAGCAGATAAGCCGCATGAATAACCTGATCATTTTTTCTCATTAGGCCCATCCTTCTGTGGGCCAGCTCCCTTTCCAGCCATCAAGGAAGGGCAAACAGAAGTGGTTTTTGTCATCTGGTATTTCTTTACTGCCATAAATGCCAAGTGCCAGGTCTGGGTACACAAAGCAGGTGACATTCTCAAGCCTGAGGATATCACACACAACTACAAGTATCCTGAAAGTACAGGGTGGGAAAGAGACTGAGCCCATCCCCCACCAGAGTTGGAAGTGAAGAGGAAGGGACAATAACACAAGCCTATATCAGAGCATCACTTAGATCTACCTCTCATTATTCCTCCTTTCTGAATAATACAAGAACACCTTACTCTTGCTGCCTGCAGAATGAAAACACAGATCATACCCCCAATTTCTTATGCTCCTTAATTACAGCAATCAGTTCTCTAATAGGCTAGGAAAGACCTTTTACTCACCAGGCACTTTCCTATTTGGAAAAACCTTTCTTCCTGACTTCTACCTGCAGAGTAAGAATTCTTTACATTCATCTCCTAAAACCCTTGTACAGTATTTCAGATTCAAACTCTCTGAAAATGAGTACTCTGCTCCTAGATATTATCCAAATTCCTCTCTCAAAAAGTAACTCGCCTTTCAGAATCTACTATTGAGATATGCTCTCCTGTCCAAATCTACCATCTCATCTTAGCCTATGATACTGCATCTCTTTGGCTGTAGTCCCTCACAAGACAACTTAACAGCAATGAATTCTAGTAAAGCTCACTACAGCAGCTTAAGTTAGTACAATTTCCAGCTGTCCCTTTTTTTCTGATAGATGCTAGCAGATGGTCAAAAAACACAATAAATCTTTCCAGGTTAAAATCTTTTAGGCAAATCCAGATGCCCTGTCAGCCAAAATCCCTTAGATTCTCCAATCAGAAACACAATGGTATAACTAACTGACCTCTTAGAAACAGTTATCTACAGCACCGCCAGTATAATTCACCTCCATCCTTCTACCTTATATTTACCTCTTTACATTAGTAAACAGGAAAGAAGACTAACATGTGTGTTCTCCTTTTTTTTTTTTTTTGTCATGGGTTCTTTTCAGGAAAGGAGCCACTTGAGAAAGCCTATAAAAAGATAAAGAAAGCTGAGAAAAACAGCAAAACAGAGTTTAGCTCCATTCCTACTGCCCTTGAAGAGCCAGTTAACCTTTTTATCCACCTCCAGCCTGATAATTCTCTGTAATTAGGATAGGATGTTCCACTTTCCATTAAAGTGTTTAACCACAGTGGCAGAGAAAAAGCTGTATGCCTGGTACTCGGGACCCAAACTGTACATTATAATCGTGAGCCTATTATCCAACTTTGGAGAGAAGGGTTTCCTTTTATTCTCAAAAGCAATGCAGGTGAGGATTGGATGAATTGCTAGAGAAGTATATATAGCTCTCTCGGTTAACAAAAAAATGCACTTGGCTTTAAGTCTACAAAAGGTTGATAACTGGTGGCAGGTGATTCAAGTCACCTTGGCGGGGGTGACAGCAAAATAGGCCGTGGCACACGCAATCTGTATACCTTAAAATTTAGAATTTGCATATCCATCCTGAAACACCTAGATTTTAAATGGCTGCAGCTTTTCATACAAAGCTGCACATTAGACTGGTCAGCCTGCATGGCTTCCCAAAACATTTAAACTTACTATCACTTGTGCATTTCACTACTCTTTTTTCCAGCAGAAACCATGCATGTCTTTATGTCTTACTCACTGTACAGCAAAGAGGTGGGAGAGAGCCATCTGCTTAGGCCGCCTGCTATGCTGACAGAAGACAACTCCTTTTACATATACTTTTCCCAGGAAGAGATCAGCATTTGCAGTTCCCCTGTCACTATTGAGGTTGGATCAATCTGCCATTCTGTTACTGAAGTAGCAAGAAAACAGCTTTCAGAAAGTAGAAATTTTGCTAGGCTGAGTGTCTCTCATGCCATTTTCTTTCAAAGCACTAAGATATCAGTTTTGGAAGAGGTGTATTGAGCTGAACTGTTCCATACAGTACTCCCACTTCTAGCTTGTCCATGCTGCTGACTCCTAAGTTACTCTCTAGCTTGGAAGTTGGAAGCTGCATTAGAAAACCACAGGTAAGGAGTGTAGTCCAGAAGACAGCAAACTGGACTTTGCCTCTTTCAGCATCTAGTAGTCCAGGCTGAGACCTTTGCTAAACAAAAAAAAAAAAAAAAAAAAGAGAGAGAGAGAGAGAGAAAAGCAAAAGAAAAGCACAGGCAATGGGGTGGCAGGAAGAAACCACTATACTGAAAAGTCATAGACATTCCCTTCATTATTTACACAAGGTGGGAGATTTCAGTCACACTGCAAAAGAGAAAAGGCAGAGACCAGAACTTTAAACAGGCATTTAATACCAAAATTGAAGCTAGTATGACATTTGTGGAAGCTCCAGCTCCTAAGTCCTAGGCAGCAGAAGGAAGCCCCCTACCAACATAAGACATAAGAAAGTGCCACAAAATGAAAAACTAGGCAGATTATGCAGATTAATATGATACAGTCCAGTGAACTAAGTCATACAATTTAGAAATTATTTGCTGTTTCTCTAGCCACTTGAATATCGTTAAGTGAGATAAAAATCACACTGTGCCATGTATTTCCACCTGTTACCCACAGCCAGCAGTAAGAACAGTCCCTGGCTATGGCTTTAACAAACTATTCCCTTAGTATGCTGGAGAACCAGGCAAACCTGACTTAGCCAAGTATCATCAAAAGGGGCATGTTGTTCTGCACATGAGAAAAAAAACCAGTTATTTCTCTCAAGAAACTACATAGGGACAAAGTAACCCTAGGTGCCTCCATGGTTCAACCCTCCTGCTATAACTTCCTCCCAAATTACTGTCAGATCACAATTTCAATGTAGTAGCTTAAATGGAAACTTTTTTTTTTTTTGGCATCTCATTAATGTCCAGCAAATGCATCACCAAGGCCCTGAGAACTAAAAATACAGAGAGCTACACCTCCTGTATCATCTCCCCTCCTTGCCTTTCAGGTTCGGCTCTGCACAGCCTACAAGCACAAAATAGCTGCACATCCCATTCACCCCCACCCAAGCAGGGTCCAGAAGACTCACTGCACATCTGGACTACATTCAACTCCAGAACTTGAAGAGCTACAAAAGTATCAACATTTTAGCTGCCTGACACCCAACTCATAACAGGTTCTGCTGATCCCTTTTCAAAAGGGTGGTCACACCCTGTGCTGTGAGCTTAAGATATGCTCTCTCCATAAATGAAACTTATTGGAATGTAGACAAGCATAGATGTTAGTGGATTAAAGCTATGCTTAAAGCCATATCTGACTTTAATTTTTTGTACAAACTCAGCTCTCTCCCATCTGCCACTATGTCTTCTCTCAGGTCTTGTAAGTTGAAGCTTAGTGTGAAAAAGATGGGCACAATGTTCAAGAAGACACTTCATTTCTCACCATACGTACTTGCTGAAGCCACCACTTAGTCAATTATTTTTCTACTCATTGCAGAAAGAATAGCTTAGAACTTAAAAACGATGACAGATTTTGCATTTTTCTAGAGATCTGCTTACTCCCACAGGCCCTTTAAAGTTGTTAAAACAATAGATAATAGTTTATACATCTTTCTAGGGGAATAGAAGAAAGATAGTTCATTCTTCCCTATGGTTTGAAAGAAAGTAGGAGCACTGCTACATTTATTTTAGTGATTCATTTGGTAGCTTGCAAAAGAAGCAAGAGTCTTTCCTTCTGTATTTATCCTGCCACGTGAAAACAAATAAAATCACTCACGCGAATCTAATATTTTATTGCTCTTTGCACCCCATGGGAGCTGTAATGTGTTCAAATGGGGCACATTCACAGCATTAGGATGCAACACTGCATCATTCCAGGAGTCAAAGCAAAACTAACAGCTTTTGCAAGAACAAAAGGCAACTTCCCCCTTTGAAACGTCTGCCAAGAGACAGCAAAGTTCTCCCCTAAAAGAACTTCCCTCATCATTCTCCCACAGCTAGAGAACGGCCAGAGAGATTCACTAGTAAAGCATGTATCAGAGTCAGGGGCAGCAACACAAGCTGACATAGGAGAGCTAAAGTTCACCCTGTGTGAAGTTCTTGATTTTGTCCATGTTGTGATTGACTGCACCAGTGAGAAACTGCACCCAGCCTTCCTCTGATGGTGGACATACATGGCTTATCCTGCAAAAGTAGAGAAAATACCTTAGAAAAGTCCCCTAGGTACCTTATACCTGTGCACCTGTAGACTAGAGAAGCCCCCACACCACATGGCTGTAGTGAAATGCTGAACTCCATCAGCAGAAAAATACTGCTGTGCCTCAGAGAGTGCTTGGAGCAAGGAAGAAGCCATGTTCTTGTCTCTAATCCCAAACCCTGACACACTTGTCTTTAACAGGGACTGTTTTATTCCTACCGTCCTTTTCCTATTCCCATCCCTTTGCTTCCAAACATGCTAAAAATAAGCATTTACTATAGAAATGAGTCATCCTTGAGGACAAATATCCTCGTCCTCAGAGGCAGACGAGGCTTTCACATGAGGTATCACATTCTCATAACCAGTAACTCAAACTCACTTTGTAATCTCCAAGACTTTCTTTAATACTGACGCCAATTTAGCAGCCTAGAAAGAAACAAAAGGGAAACAAAGTGAAACATAAACAAGAAAAAAAGGTCCAGCAGTATCTGAAAAGAGAGAGGCATGTAGGAGCGTTCAATATACCCAAAAATGAATAAAACTGCCATAGATCCTGATGCAAGAGGAAGCTAACATTGCCATGCTAGGAGTGTCTCCCAGCCTACTGCTGAATAGGGCAAGCAAAAACACAAAGCAAAAAGAACAACAAAAGATTGTATAAATATATAAAAATATATATACTCATATACACACATAATGCTTTCTTCTTAAAAAGATAAGCCTGTGATAAATTGGTAATTAGAACATGAAGTGACTCTGTAGAATGTAATTTAATATTAAGCAACATTTAATATTTTGTACCAAAAGATCAATGCACTGGCCAAATGCAAGAAATGGAAAATAAGATTCAGAATAACAAATCTCAGATATGAGAAGGTGTATACGTAATTTAGGTTGGAAGAGACCTCCGGAAGTTACCTAGTCCAACCTCCCACTGAAAGCAAGGCCCACCTTAAAGTTCAGGCAGGTTGTTCAGAGCCTTGCCTAGTTTTGAAAATTCCCAAAGATGGAGATGCTGGTATTTCTCTGAGCATCCTCTTCTAGTGCTTAATCGTGCTCACTGTGAAAACTACAAAATTTTTAGTTTTAATTTAGATCACTTCATTTGTATAAACCTCCCTGACAGGGAATACACTGACAGCCTTTAGACACCACCTGCCTGAGATACTGTCACTTGACATCTCTATGTATTATAACTCAAGAGTCAATCCAAAAGTGGTCATGCTCTTCCCTGAAGGAGTAAAGTGAAACAGATTTCCACTCAAAGGAAGCTAAATGTGTAAGAACCAAAGGGAACTCATCTCTAACAGCTGACTACTGATACAGTCACTGACATCCACCAGACATACAATCCCTGCAAATTCAATTTTCTCTCTTTCCTACAGCCAAGCAGATTGGCATGCAGGGTACAGATACTTACATTGAGTCGCACAGCTAGCTGGTTCATAGGTGGATACATGCTCAGTGCCAGCTCATCAACACTAGAATAGAAGACAGGAGAGTCATCACTGAAGAAAAGCCCCTGATAGCACAACTCATAGGAGGTCCTTGGTCAAAGCCTACACCTACCCTAAATGAAAGCCCAAAACTGCAGAGCATGACAATGAGACATCAGGCTTTGCTGCCCACTCTCACCCTATTCCCACTCACAGCCACAGCCCTACCTTAAGGTGCAGAATATGTTCCTTTCCTAACCTGCTCATGTCTCAACAACCTATGCCATATTAGCATCTTCACACACAACAGCTTCCATTGCCAGTTCACAGATTCAATTTTGTATAGATTTTCCTGATCCACCCTCTCGAATCTCAGAAAACATGGAGACTGGTCTGGAACAGAAAGCAACAAGGCGAGAGACCCACTTACCTCGGACTAATCTCATTGGCAATGTCTGCAAGGTCATCCAGCTGAGCGATCTGCTCTGAAGAGTCAGCTTTTCCATAAGCCTTCACTACACCCAAGACCTTCTTCAGGCAAGCTTTAGAAGCCTTCATTAATCCCATGCAGGGGCCAAGAAGCTTCCGGTCAGCTTCTGACCAGTAGGTATCTCTGTTGCCTCGAAAGCCTAGCTCGTCATCTTCCATGATATCACTGTAGGGGTCTTGATCTTCCACTAGAGCCTGAGAATACAGATGCACTGAAAATCTAGGGCCTAACATCTCTTCCAAGAGTATCCAGCAAAAAAGGGAAAACATTTTCTAAAAATCATACAGTTTATGGAGGAATCTCACACTAGCATCTCAGTTGCCCAACTGGGGCAATCCTAATGAGACTGGTTAAAGAAATATCACCCCCTGCTCCAGTCCAACAGTGAGCAGCAAGAATCTGGCAGACAGTCTCTCTCTTACGTGAGCCTAGAACCACCCACTCACATTCAAAGACAATGCTACATATGTTAGCAGGATGAGACTTGCTTGGGTTTAAAAATTCATTAAGATCTAGACAATGCAATAACCTAGCTCGTATCAAACCTGATTCAAATCAGAGCCTGTCTATAAAACCATCCCTGTATTGCATCAGTGCAGGTTTACTGCCTTCCTTACGTGTTCCATTTCTTCCAGAGCATCCTTGACCACACCAAGATATGCAGCTAGAGCTGACGCAACTGCTGCCTGGTTATCTGCAAAAACAAAAGGAAGAAAAAACTGACATTGAATTAGTTCCCAGCAACAGTCACCTAGGTTTGACATTATTAGGATCTTGATATTATAGGATCAAATGTTTTTGCAGAGCTCAGAGCTGTGTTGTTGCTACAAAAAGAACCTGATCTGGCTTCCCAGTTTATGCACTTCAAAGTATAGCAGGGTTTTGCAAAATGAATGAGTCTCTATTGCAGTAGCTACAGTATTCCTCATATGGGCTATCAGTATTCTAAGACCACATATCCTAGTCTTTTTTTTTTTTTTTGCACACACAGTACTCACCTCGAGGCATACTAGATGCTTGCTCACACGCCTCCCACACACGACCAGTTGATATAAGTTGTTCCTGACACAAGCTGAAACAAACCAGAGCCACTCAAAGTTAGAATCAGTAACATTGCTCTGTTAAATTGTTTTTCTTTCCTGCGATCACCAAGCAGCTCGTCATTGGCATCTTTCATCTGTGCAAAGCAACAGGTGCAGGCTCCTCCTGAGTTTAAGCACTATTTGGAAAAAGAACAGGAACCTCCAGAGAGGCCTCTCAAGGTGCCTGTCTCTATATATTTTCCAGAACCTATCCAAATTAGTAGACTGTACCAGAGACTGATGATTTCTGTCTAAGGGCAGTGGTCTGTAATCAGTGAAAAGAAGTTCCATAATATCTCCTAGGAAATATAGTGTTCCAATAACTAACTTCCAAAAGTCAAGCAATCAATGTGTAAGACAATCCACTCCAAAGGCAAGAACTCTCACCAAAGCAAACACCATCCCAGCCTCTTTATAGGAATTCTGCTCCCAGCTCCTTTCTTTATCACAGGCAGCATGAAAATCTATTCTTTCTGTACAAAGAGATATCCCACTGGGTTACTGTAAGGGCCTTGAGTGGATTCCACCCTCCTAGAACCGGAGAGTGGCTCAGAGTTAAAGATTTTAGGCAGCCAAGTCCATGGTCAGTTCTTTTGCTGATAAGAGTTCTTGATAAAAAAGTTAGAAGTGAAGATCAATCCCTTTTTCCCCTACAAGGCACTTTAAAGCTGAATATCTCTGGTTGGGTCATATCTGTGCTACACCACAGCAGTACAGCAGCTATGTCTCATACTGTAGCGGACCCATCTCATTCCCCTTGATTTCAGCCCTGACCCACCGATTTGACTTCCCGGACTGATGTTGGGCCCAGTCCACCACTGATCCAACCGGGAAATCGTTAGTCTGTGTCTGACCCTGGTTACTGCTTCAGGATCTGATCCTAATTTGCTGGATTAGCTTCCCAGCTTGACCGCAAATGTACCTTGTTCATCTGGACTTTTTTGATGATCTGAACTCTGAAGGTGGCTACCTTTTCCAGGCCGGCTCTGCTTGCTCAGATACTGTGAAACTATGCCCTTGCCACTGAGGGCACTGCCTTTGCCTGCCCTATTGCAGTGGCCAGCTCCTGGTTCCCCGCTTCCCTTCCCTAAGAAGTGTACTTGCAATGATTTCTCACTTCTTTCTGGAAAAGCACTACCTCTGCAATGGAGTATTGAGAATGGTTTCTGTGAGCTGGATCATTCCTTCCACTACCTCGGTAACAGCATCTCGTACCATCTTCCGAAGAGTAGTACCTGTTTGAGGTTGAGAAAAAAAAAAAAAAAGACAACAATGGCTGAAAGCAATGATCAAAGATGAGCACCGGCAGCTCTGTTCATGCAGATACAAGGTATGTCACAGAACTTTGAAGGAAATGACATTGGTTCTCAAGTTCCAAAAGAACTCTGGGTGAGACCTGAATGTCTTATAAATACAAATGTTCAAACATCTCTTCCTAAACTATCATTTTTTCATAGCAGGAGATCCCCCAGAATAGACAGTAGAGC